TGATGCCCACGCCCCACACTGCACAGACCCCAGTTCCTCCCCTATTTCCCTGCCAGCTGATGCACTGTGCCTTGTGCCTTCCCCCATGCTGGCTCCACTTAAACGGGGCATTTGCAAGACCTTTTGCATTTTCTGTTGCCTTGAAATTGGATGGTAACAGTTTAAACAGACTGGAACTTCTGTTTGCAACAACATCGGATGTGTTTGTATTGAGTCATTAGCTGAACTGCTTTTGGAGTTACACAGAATGCCCACTGATGGGGTGAAAAAGTCTATTTATTTATTTTACCTTAAAACATCATTGGCATAAGATCCCACAACTGACTGTATATGCACTACAAACATCCTGGCAGATACCCCAAGAGCTACTCTCAATCAAATATCCAAAACCAGGATTAAGTCTGTCCCATGGGATCCTTATGGAGGATGTAAACAAACGAGTCCTGCCAGCTAGTAAATTATTACTGTGAACATCCAGAATACTCTTATTTGACCTATTAACATTTTAATAAATTCTCTGAGGGTGAATTCCCTGTAGTACCAGGAAGAAAATAAGAAACAGACTTCTTTTATGATCCCATTCCTGGTAAATGACATCCACAATCCAAGATGGCCCTTGCTGAATCCTGGCTCGGTGAGACACAGCAGTCTATTATTTGATCCTTGTGGGGATAGATGAGGCCTCCAAAGAAATTCCCTCAGAGGACTGGGTAAGGACATCCCTCAGCAAGGATATGAAGTAGATAAAAACTACAGAGGAACAGGGATCAATTGGTGGGGTGGGAATAGGAATGCAAAACCAGCAAGGGAAGCACGTATACTCATAGAGGGGAAAACTGACTGGCCTGGGAATAAATTCCTCTACCCCTGCTTGCTTGTTGATGTGCGTAGGTATTCTCCACTCTGAACTCTAGATGTTGTTGCTCACAGCCATTCAGCTCAGAAGCCAGTCGAGCATGATATTTCTTTAAAGGAACAGGAACAGAGGGTCCTTGTCCTGTTTGATCTTGGCTTTGTTGGGGAATCTTACAAAACCCACAGAACCAGAGAAATATGAATATGGGACTATCACGTAAGTGTCTTTGCTTTTTCTTAAATACAAGGCAAGAGAGAATATCAGGTTTCTATCACTGTACTGTGTTGATGTACAACAAACTGGGTCTGGATAAGAAAACTAGCAGGCACATGCATATCAATAATGAGCTTTTACTACCTCTTCCTTCAGAAATACCACTGGTAGCTAGAACTCGGTCAGAAATTATTTTTGCTTGCTGTGAGATAAGATAGGAACAGCAAGTCTTATCAATAAATAACTCTGCCATAATTTGTATATATTACATTGAAAAAAAAATATCCCAGATCTCTATATCACTTTAAGTTGCATTATCTTCATCATATTAAAAAATGGTTTTGATCCAATTTTAAGACATCTCATGCAATAATAGAAAACAGATTTCATTGCATGTTTTCTCCTGGATTACTTAAATTACTTTCAGAATCTCAGAAGGCATTCCAAGCTCAAAGTTTTGCTTTATGTATCTTTACTGTTTTTTATTTTATTTATTATTTCAGTTATCCCTGGCCAAATTCTTCCCTGATCCAAATCCATCGGCTACAGTTGTCTAAGACAGAGGACACACTTGGCGCCTGCAAGACCAACAACGGGGAAGGCTCTAACACAGTAACAGACAGTACCGAGGGCAGAAAAACTATTTGAGTCGGTTTCAAGCTCAAGCTAAAAATAGCAAATTCAAATTAAAATCTCCCAGGCCATATTCTCATGCTCAAAACCATTAATTTTAAAAGCTGAGACCACTCAGGGCCTCCTCCCAGGAGGTACTGAGTGACCCTTAACTCCAGTGAAAGTTACTGAAAGTTGAAAGAGCTCTGAAGCTCACAGGATTGAGCCCTTCAACAGGCTAAGCTGCTGTTGACCAGCTAAGAAACAGACTGCCAGCATTACCCAGCCCTGTGGGGGCTCAAGGATCACCTCTCCAGTGGATTCCAGTAAATGCCAATTGGAATTTACTCAGTAGTTTTCACGACCAAGTTCATAGACGGAGAAATCACTACTGTCCCAGCAGAGGTGACAAAATATACAGATGTTTCGTCTGCTGACTACTGACATCCACACACAGGACAGAGGAATCCCCATGTGCTCCTACTAGAAGCTTCTGCCTCTTTGCCAGTTCACAAATTTTTAAGGGGGAATAAACAGTTTTTCAGGTAATAATATTCTTCTGGCAGTGTTTTTGCTCTGTCACAAGGTTAGGTGCATAAACAGCAGTCACTTCAGATATAACACTGAATATAAAATTCTTACCTTCTGCTGTTCCAACACAATCACATGATCCTGGCTTCCTTTTGCATTTTCATTGCCCAACATCCATCTCTATGGATTATCCCAGGAAAAGCAAATTCTGTATTACTCAGCTGGAAGGAAAAATGGAAAGGAGTTATTAAAGATGCTGGATTCACTTCATCAAATGACAAAGAACAAACTGTTGGCTTTGAGTGGTTGTAAGGTAATAACAGAGAATGAGCGACAGCTTTGTGGGCTCTGCAAAGCAGAGCTCAGTGCTAACCAGTGAATGAATTGCCATGTTGCAAAAAAAACCAAAAAAACAACAACAAAAAAAAACATCCTGAAAGCTGACACCTGAAAGGCACTCTGGGCAGGGACTTCAAAGAGGGTGAATTTGCAAGAGACCAGTTGCCAGTGACACTGAGGCACAAAAAGTGTTACTTGACAACTTCAACAGAGTTACCAGTTGTGGGTCTTGCTAGCTGTCTTGATTTTATGCCAGATTTTGCAATGTTGTAGGGAAGAGCTTGGAAAAATGACCTGAGGGTGCCCTAGGGACTCAAAAATCAGAAAACAAATAAATCAAACTGTAAATATGTTTTTAATTTCATGATTCTTGCACACCCAGGATTGCTGAAGAGTTGATATTCTAGAGCAATCAGTACTGGCCATGCTGCAGAATGATGATACAGATACTGATCCTGCCCAGTATGAAGATGTAGGATTTTCACAATCTCCTGCAGAAATGTAGTAAGGGTCAACGTTCATTACATTTTTCACCCACAGGAAAAAACAGAGCGAATAACTTTTCACTCTACTCCCGGTTGGTTTCACACATTAGTCACGGGAATGAGGATGCCCCGGGGTGACTTAAGCGCACATTCACACCTTCCTTCAGAAGTTTCAGAGGATTGGCTCCATCGCCGGGTGCTGCTCTCATCGCTCTGTAAGGATGCCCAATTTCACCACCTGAAATTCCCCCGGCCAACAACCGGCAGCCTTGTGCTGCCCTCTCACGGGCTGCAAACAGCAGAGCAGCAACACCTCTGCCCGCCGAGACCCGGCAGCCACAGAGGCAATAAATAGTACAGAGGGTTTGGAGCTTCCCTGTCATCATGAGCTGGATTTATGGCATGATGCAGTGGCTGCACAACCACAGCCAGTGCTTTAGCAGCTCTGTCCCGTGCCTGGCTTTCCATAAGAGGGTACAGGGCTCACAGAGCGAAGCTCCCGTGACCAGAATTACAGTGTTGGGTGATGCCGAAAATACCAACCAGCTCACAAGCATGCAGCCCTTGTTGCTCTGGGTCCACTCGTCCCTGCTCCATCATAACTAGTGGTCTCATTTTCTCCAGCAGCTGCCACCCTTGCTGTCAAAAGGCCTGAGGGAGTAAACAGGAGACGAGGGAGGATTACACCATACCCAATCCAGCCCCAAGTGCTGGGCTGATGACCCCGAAGGATCTCCTGCCCGCCAAGTGAAGAGGCAGTGGTCTAACCTCAGAGCCGGGGGCAGCCCTGGTCTGGCTGGGATTCGGAGCACAGCATCTGCCCCGTTGGGTGGAGGGGAGCCGGGATTACAGCCTCTCACGAACCTCCTCGCCCCAGAAAAACACCGTTGGCCTTCTGCTGACGTTGCCAACAAGTGTCCAACTTTGTAAACCACGAGCCAGCACCACCAGCAGTGCTCTGAGTTGCACACTCACAGCAGAGAGCTGAAAAATTTCCACACAGCTTATTTCAGTGCCTCCCGCCTTGAAGAGATGACCAAAGTGTTTTTAAAACACAGCAGTAGGAATGTTATCCCTTTGCTACACCAAATTATTTGGGATGCACAATGAGTTTCCACAATACTTATGCAGAGCACGGCACAGTCCTGTGCACTACTCTATGAAGTAATTAATTCCTTTCTTCGTTTAAAAGCCTCATGTTCTTTTTAAGGCAATCTCATGATGCGTGGGGGCCTGGGTTGTCAGCTTGGAGTGCTAAAATGAATTCAACCCCCGTCTCAGAAAACACAAGGATCTTTTAATTAGGAAATTTGGGGCTTGTTGTATTTGTCTTCTCACACGTGAAACTTTGGAGTACTCAGCAGCCCCCATTTTCTCGCCCCATTAAAGGGGCTGGAAACTCACTGTCCCTTTTCAGGAAGGGTTAAGATCCTCAGGCACAATGTGACCCGAGGAACAGAGGCACTAACAGAGACCCCAGGGCTGGCCCTGTGCCCCCCTCCAGGCACAGACCTTCTTCTCCTGGGATGGCGATGTCCCCCCTGCCCCGGCTGCCTGTTTCACCATCCCATTCCCCCGCCCTCCTGTCCCCCCACACCGCCTCACCCAGGCCTGACCTGCCTTCCTGGCTCCGCTTGCTCCATCCACCCCTCCATCCCTCCCTCCACACACACCCTCACCGCCCCCTCAGCTCCTCCCTGCCTCCAGCCCTAGACCCTTCATCTCATCCCCCTCCACCCAGGCGTTCCCCTCACCTCCGGCCTCCACCGGGCACCTCCCCGCGCCCCCAAACCCCAACTCTCCTCTCCCTCCTCAAACCCGCCTCCATTTTACGCACCCGCCCCCCCCCCCCCCCCACGCTCCCGCCCGCGCCACTGGCGCTCCTCCTGCCGGCAGGGGGCGCTGCCGCGGGCCGGGGCGCCCGTGGCGGCGGGGGCGCCGCTCTCTCCGCCCGCCGGGCGCCGCGGAGGAGGCGGCGGGGCAGCGCGGCGGCGGAGCGGGCCGCGGGCTCGGCGTGAGGCGGCGGCGGGGCCGGGGCCGGGGCCGGGAGGCGAGAGTCGCGGCCCCGCTGAACCCGCCCCGCGGCCCTGCGGGGAGCAGCATGGCCGCCAGCCTGTGGATGGGGGACGTGAGTGTCCGGCCGGGACCCGCGCGGGGCTTTGTGAGGCGGGCAGCGGGGCGGCCTGGCCGGCGGGAGGCGGGAGGGGCAGCGGCCGGCGCCGGGGCGACCGCGGGCTGGGGCGGCACTGGCTGGCAGACACCCTCACACCGGCTGGCACCCTCACACCGGCTGACACCCTCACACCGGCTGGCACCCTCACACCGGCTGACACCCTCACCCCGACCGGCACCCTCACCCCGACCGGCCGACTGACACCCTCACAGCTCCTGACTGACTGACACCCCCCCGCACTGACACAGCCTCACGGGCCCTCACATACTCTGACACACACACAAACTCCCGAGCTGACTGACACTCTCACGCACTCTCTCCTCGGCACGCTGGCAGGTTCACACACCAGTGCACGCTCGGAGATGCTGACCGAGCCTGGCAGGCACAGCTGTGAGCAGTGACACACTCACAGACACAGTTACACACATATACACACCCCACCTCAGAGTGACCCTCGTTGCCTGCCTCCAGCCAGGGTCACAGACACACTCGTGGCACTTACACCAGCGTCCCGTGCTCACACTGGTGGGCAGGCACACTTGTGGGCACTGACATGCTTTCACACTCCCATGGCCATGCTCTGTTAGGCACTCACACACTCACAAGCCTGTACGCTTGCATGCTTCTAGAGTTTATGTGCTGGCTTATGTGCTCACATGCTTGTAGGCACTTACCTGCTCGTGGTCATAAGCTCTGACTCACTTACACACTCACACGTTCACACTTCTGCTGCTAGGCTCACGCACTTGTGCTTTCTTGCGCCCACATGCTTGTATGCACCTATCTAAGAGTATCCCTCGCTACCTGCCCCACACACCTGTGGATGCACTCACATGCTTATAAGGATTTGCGCTCTCCTACATGCATGCACACTCATAAGGACTTACACACCCCAGTATTTCTCTCATTCCTGCCTGCATGTGCACCTGGTAGCACACTCACAGATGCTTCTTCACTCCAGGGTGTCTCGTTGCCTGCTTACATGCCTGCCGTGGGCACGCTCGCACAGTGATACACACCCCACAGTGCCCCTTTTTGTCCGCCCTTCACACACACTGCGTGCACCCTCATGCTCGTGCAGCTGTGTCCCTCACCGCTTGCCACTGTACTCACACGCTTTCATACACGCTCGCGTATTCCTACTCACACCCAGCGTGTTGTAGTGCTTTGCCACCCCCACACATGCCTGTATGTATGTGCTCACATTGTATCGTACTGTCTGCGCTGTCTGCCACTTTTACAGTCACATACACAATCCCACCACTGCATCGTAGTGTCCTTGCTGCCTGCTACACGCTTGTACACAGCCGCATTTACATATACATACACAGTTACACCAGCATATCACAATTTCTACATTGCCTGTTACTTGCATGCACATCTTTCTCCAGCCCCTTTCTTACAGACTCACACCAGCATATTGCATAGTCCTGCTTGCGCACACACGTGCACCCTGTAGTCTTCCTCAGACTCTCACACGTGTGTGTGTGCATACACGCAACCCAGCACTTCCCTGACGATCCCACTGGATGCTTCTCTCTTACACACGCACACCCACAGAGTTTGCCATTGCATTGCACACGTACACTGGCACATCAGGGGCTCTTCCACTGCCTGACACTCATGCAGACACCACAGCGTCTGCTGTCTCTTTCTTTTACCCACACAAAGGGTTATCTACCACATCTCTACCATAAGCCCATCTTCTTTTTCAGTCACCTCACTCACAAGCAGGCCATGGCTCTTTGAAACACACACATACATATGTCTAAGCAACAGTCACCTGTTGCCATGATGAGCCTGCCTTTCCTGCACACACAGCCCACAGAATCACCCTCTGCATGTGTTTTCAGCATGGCATGCCTGTACAGAGTAGTGCTGCCTCCTGCTTCTGGCACATGTAACCGAGTCATTTTGGCTTTACACTCACACCTCCGCAGGGCACCTGCCACCTTTTGCACGTGCAAGTGCAGTATGGTCACCCACTGTCAGGTGCTGCACAGGTCTGCACATTCTGTCACGCACACAAGTGACGGAGCCGCCCGGTACCTGACAGACACCCGAACACGCTCGAGGGCTGTCAGTTACCACAAGGCCATCTGTCTTACTTGCACAGGTATACATACTTATATATATACAACTATATGTTTCCCCCACAGCCCAGCCTTGTGTTAGCTGTCATGTGCAGTGCTCTCCATCAGTATGCGTATTGGACAAAACCTTAATTTCAGTTAGTTCCCTCCTCCGCTTTCTATTACACAGAGAGACATCCTTTACCCTCAGTCCCTTCATCATATATTTGCTCCAAATTGCAGTGTCGTTTCATACTTTTCAGTACAGACACCTGCCCTCCGGTGTGTTCGCTCACACGGTACCACTGCCCTGCACTTCACACACACTGTGACATGCACAGTGCCACCCTCTCGCCTACAACATAAACACGGCCAGTGCACCCACGTGCCGGACAAAGCGCAGACCTGCTGCGGGACGCGGTTAGAGGTCACCCCTCCCAGCGCTGCCCGGCGTAACTCCCCGGGTATTTGAGGTAGACACGGCTCTGGAAACCCTTGCCCCAGCTCTGTGCTACCTGACACATGCCGCCCATTTGTCGTGGCACCCCGGGCTGTGCCGCGCCTGTGCACCGACAGCGCTGGCCCAGCCTCCGTTTGCATACAGAGGAGCCTGCCATCTCCTTATCCCCTGCTCTGTGTAGTGAACGCTCAGTTTGTTGCTGTATGTTTCTGAGTGGCTTTTGTCCTTCTGTGAAAGCTCCCTGTTCTCTGAAATTCATGCTGTCTCTTGGGTTCCACTTTGCAGACTGTTGAGCCTGGTTCATGCATGCCTGCTGGTTTTGAGTGGCATCGACCCTCTTAAATGAGTCTTCTTTTTGAAGTGTAAGGGTAAAATACTTCTCAATAATGTTTTAACTGCTTAGGGTGACATTGACACATATATTCTCCTTTTTGTAGATGCCCTGGTCTAACTTTTTTTTCTTTGCTTTTCTAGCTGGAGCCATATATGGATGAAAACTTTGTTTCAAGAGCCTTTGCCACCATGGGAGAGCTTGTACTGAGTGTAAAAATCATTCGAAACAGGTTGACAGGGTAACTGTTTATGCTTGTTCTCAGTTTGTTCTACCAGTGCATTTGGATTGAACCATTTGCCCTCTGCATGGCATCGCTGTGGTCCTGTCCATATTAGAGGGATTTTTCCCTTTGAGCTTTTCACCGTTGCTGCCAACAGTATGGGTATATTGATGATAGCAATGGTGAGGACAGTTGCTGGCTCTTCGACCTCCACATCAACAAAGCAAGGTTTGACCCTCATCCTGCAGTGCTTTAGCACTCATTCAGAGTGGCATATATATGCCATACAGTCCTTCTGGGAATTACTCCTCCTGGGCTGAAGGCTTCAGTGACTAGTCTGTGTTAATCGCTTCACTAGTGCAGCTGCGTGGCGCTGGCGGAGGCGGGAAGTCTGACTTAGAGCAATACGAGAACCTTTTGAGTTCATTTGGAATAAAGTGAGTGACTGTATGCAGAATAAAGTAGTTTCACATTCTTGTAAATGTTGTCATTTCAGTTTTAAATTGTCTAGACTTGGGTGGGAAAACTTAGAGTCAGTGAAAGTAGGAAGAAAACTAATGGTGAGCAAAACTATTTTCTGTGTGCTTTTGTTGACATGACTTACTGGTAAGTAGGGGCTATCACTTTACTTGAGATCCAAGATTACTTTGCTAACTTCTTTTTGGTAGCTAATGTTTATACTTTGAAAAAGAAAATGTTCTAACTATTGCAACTATGGAAAATTTCCTACCACTTATCTAAAAATGTAATATTCCTCCTCAAATGTGTTTTAAATCTGAAATCTTTCTCTCTCCTCTCCTGTGTCGTATGTTCAGAATTCCAGCAGGCTATTGCTTTGTAGAATTTGCAGATCTAGCTACTGCAGAGAAATGTTTACACAAAATCAATGGGAAACCGCTTCCTGGTGCTACACCGGTAAGTAAATGAAATCAGACAGTTGAAAACCAAAATGAGAAGGATAGGTAGTGTGGAATCTGTATTTTGAATGATTACAGACAAATTCAACAGTTAGCAAACTGAGATTCTTCTTTACTTTAGAGTTAAAGTAATGAACATAAAACTATTAATGTTCTTGCTCGGAAAATTGTTCAGAAAACCCACTGATTTCTGTGTGAATGTCTGGATAAAATCCAGATATAGAAATGCTGTGGTGAGCCTTTCTGCTATTACCAAAGTTGGACTAATGACAAACCAGAGAAGAGCAAGGAAAGAGCAGATTGAGTATACCTACCGCAGTCCTTCTGCCTCTCCCTGCTTGTAGTTCCATATTAATTTGTTACAGTGTGTATGTTGTTATATGTGTACAAGAGGAACTTGCAAGTTCACCCTGAGTTTTGAGTAGCTTTGATTTGCAAGAGAAGCATGACTTTTAAGCCTTGCATTATTCTTGGCACCTAGCAAACAAAAGTTATTCAAACCTGTTTACAGTGCAGAAAGAGCTAGACCATTCTATAACTGAAATACGTAACATGTCTCGGATACATAAAAGCTAGGTAGTTAGGAATAAGAGGAGGAATAGTCGTCATAGAGGCTAATTTTAGGATGTTGACTCGGATGTGTAGTAGATTAAAATGGGATGGCTGACACAGCTGTCCGTTGTACCCACAGAAGTTGGCTGCGGTAGCTAGGATGACTGGTTCATAAGGCAGCTCTAGAATCACCTCAAGTATGGTGTGGTAGAGTAAGGTAAATTGATTCCTATTTTGGTGTAGTTAATACCCTGAGTAGGAAACTAAGAAGTTCAGGCTGAACTATTTGGTCAACCTGCCTGAGAGGATGGCGTCCCCCATTAAAAGGGATAGATGAGAGGCCTGGAGGGATCTGTTTCACCTGTCCTGTTTAATATGCAAATCAGAGTCCATGATTAAGGCATGCTAATCTTCCCAGATGCCTTCTGTAGTCACTAGAGAGAGAAAGAGAGCAGCTCTTGCCAGGAGTATTATAATAATTGAAATCTGGTTTCAGGAATACGGCTTTCTCCACAGTTTAGTCCAAAGTGCGGTGTTGTGTAGAGAGATGTTTTACATAACACATGGAGAGAATTACAGATGTCAGACAGAGGTCCAGTGTGGGCAGCCTAAATCAGTGCGCTCAGCAGGCAACTGTCCAGCTCATCTCTTGCATTTAGACACGTTTTCTCTTGTTTACAGAAAACTGAGCATGGCTCACTCTTTTATTTATTTTTAAATACTGAAGCAGCCACAGGAATGACAGAGTGCCATGGTGCTGTTGCTGTCTCTGTTTTAGAGAATTAGTGTCCGTAGTTCCCATTTGAGTGGAAGTACTCTCAGGTATCTCATTGATTTTAAACCAAAAATACTGCAGTGAAGAGTGAGATCCAAAAAAAGATGAAAGTGCTTCAAAGCAGAATCTGAATTTTGTGTTAGCTTGTAAATGGTCCACAGAAAGAGTTGTGTACCACTGCGCAGCAGTGAATGCAAGCATGCAAAGAACATGATTATAGCCTAGAGTTAAGTCTTTGCTCTATTTCCCAATAATTATTTACGCTATCTTTGAGGGAAGAAAATACATCATACAAGGTACAGGAGCACTCTAGGCTCTCCACTCTACTAAACAAATGTCACAATCTCTAGGTTATGGATTCACCGTAGGCTTGCTGTCTTTGGCCAAATTCCCTTGAATTCTCGCTGTGCCACTGTGTAGTGCAGAGGGATATCTGCTTTGGAAGCCTGTTGGGTGATAGAAAAATGGTTTTGAGGTCCCTCAAGCTGACGAGGGGATCCAGCTTAGGTTTTACACTGTCTGGGTGAGTTTGGACATGAGTGTTCTTGTAAAGGAGTGCAACCCTGTGCTGCTTCCTCTGTCAGACATGTTTCAAAGAAAATAGCAATTCCCATTGCACCCTGCGGTGAGCCTGCTTGGGTCACTGTGTGCTAAGCATTGTATAAGAATGCCCATGGGATTGAGACCCTCGACATTTTGAGGCAGAAGATCAGCTGCTCCTCACGTCTTGGTCTAGACTTAAATGTGAGTTGGGCACAGGTTGCTGAACCCTGGTTGGATGGGGGTGGGAAGCTCCAGATGTGCCAGTGGGCACAAATCTAGGCTCCTAGGAAACTTGTTTAAAAAATAAAATAAGGTGCAAAGTTTAATGATGCCTCCAGTGTCCAATGACAGGTAATTCTTTCAAAAAAATCTTAATTTTGGATGTTAATAGTGAGCACGTCATTCAGAGCAAAGTATTTAGCCATACTTCCAGACTCGGGGATGGATTCCATTTTCCAGTGTGACGGATTCTGGTCTGCCAGTATTCATGTAAACCACAAATGTCCAATGGTCTGTGATGTCATTTAATTTTAAGACCTTAAAATTAGAAGTCATTTAATATTTGTTGCTAGTACCTCTGTTTTCCAGTCTTCCTTAAAGGCACAAAAACTAAGGTGCTATGTAAGGTTCACCGGTTTCTCGCTAGCTTTATAAATTGTTGAAATAAGGAAAGGCCAAACCTATCAGTGCGGGTTCTTCGCTGATTGTCATTATTATAGCTGTACTGACATCAAATAAAAATGTTGTCCTTGGTACCTTAACTGGCTGGCCTGATGGCATAGAACATCTGTCAGCATTAAGAAAGTTGTGTAAAATCAGCTTATTGTAATTTTTCCTAATTGTTTGGATCCACATGAGAACATTTGAATGTATGGATTCATTTTTGCCTTGTTTCAGGCGAAGCGATTTAAATTGAATTATGCAACATATGGAAAACAGCCTGATAACAGGTAAATGCTCAGTATTTAAATATTAGTTTTGCCTGCTTAATGTCTCTTTATCAATTGCCTTGCTAAGAGTATTCAAAATATGTAAACCCACAAGTTCATCATCTGCCTGTAGCAGAGGGAGGATAAACTAGACTGCCTCTCAGTTTTATGCTTTGCCTTTTGTGTGGCACACCAGATTTGTCAGGAGTGTCTTTTAAGGTATATAAACTTTGTAGCATCAAAGTATCTAATTTATATTATATTATAATTATATATTATAGCTATATATGTTCTATGTTTTATATTGTATATTATATATAATATTTATTAGATAATTATATATTATATACAACTTAAATCAATATATTGGAAATAGCAAATCTATAAATGAGACATTAATGTTTTCTTGCCATGTTAGAAATCCAGAGGCATCCTGTGAGACATAAGAAATTAAATTATCTTTAAATAAAAAACAGTATTGAGTAAATTGGTTGTGCTGCTTGAATTAACTTGAAAAAAGCGGTGTCAATAAAAATTTTAGTCACCCAAGCAACTTCGCTGGCAACACTTTAAAGTATCCATTAAACGGTCTTTTATTATCACTTTTCTCTGAAGTCAAACGTTTAGGCTAAATTTAAGTTGTCACTCAGCATGCCTCTTTTTTTTTGGTATGATTGTACTTAAGAAGTTTTCTTTTTATTTCTTTAGTCCAGAATATTCACTTTTTGTGGGAGACCTGACTCCTGATGTGGATGATGGCATGTTATATGAATTTTTTGTTAAAGTTTATCCATCATGTAGAGGTGGAAAAGTTGTTTTGGACCAGGCAGGAGTATCCAAGTAAGTCATCTTTCATTCATTCTTTTCTTTCACTTCACATGCAGCAACAGGAAAGATGAAATGCAGCAGGGGAAAATGAGTAGTTCTGTCATCTCAGATTTTAATAATCTTAAAATACAATGTTCTTGGACATTCAGTCTGCAGTATGCTTGGGTTTTGATAGTCACCACAGCATATTGTCACTCCTCTGTCAGTATGATGCCCTTTGTGTGCTGGCAGTATGTTACTGTACTTCTGAAAATGCTGAAAAATGTCTGAGTAATCTTGAAACACTGTCTTCCTGGACTCTCAGATGGATTTGTGCCTTTACAGTCTATAGGCTATTGACTGTACATTCCTGTGACAGCTTTACAAGTTTTTGTTTCAAGTAGGGTAGGGCAAAGCTATGATTCACTGTCAGGTACTTAGTAGCCACCTTGTTCATCTTTGCTGGAAATGTCTTGCCAAAAACAGATTTCTTAATGTTATTTAAACATTTTCTAAATAGCAGAAAACGAAACTGTATTTTCCTAGAAGAGGGACCAGTTGGTGAGCATCCTTGTTTTCAAAATAGAACATGACTTCAGTGAAACAATATTCTGATGTAATACCTATGAGAATGTTGTGATAAGACTTAGAATGTGGCTGTAGGTCTCCCCTCTTTCTCACATAAGGTTTCTCAGTCTTAGACATGTTGGTTTGAAGGAACCTCTGGAAGTCTCTGGTCCAACTTCCCACTCTGAGCAGGACTGCTGCCAACACTAGATCATCAGGTCAGCTATGAACTGCATAGCCTGGAAAACCTCCCAGGATGGAGATAGTGCAACCTGCCTGGGCAGCCTGTTCCAGGGCTCCCTAGTAATGAAGTTCCTCTTCATGTGCAACCTGAACCTCTTGCAGAGCTGCTCAGTCACTCTCTGGCTGTTAAGTACTCACGCTGTTACTGCCACCTCACCTGAGACTGACACTGCCAGCGTGAGCTCCGGGTCCCTCCTCCTCTGCAGTGGTGTAAACCCAGCAGCTCTTGTTTTGCTGCACCTGCTTCAGTCTCTGCCTACAAAATAGGTGTTGGGTGATGCAGGTTGGGCCATTAGTTGGGCTTTGGGAACTGTTCATAAGTGCAGACCTCAAGGAAACGGAGATTGGGAAGTGGGGAAGGAGCAGGGACTTGAAGTCCTGTTGCTGGGAAGAGCACAGCTCTGTCTCCTAGCAGTGCTGGGGTGTTGCTGCCAGGGGCTGTGTTGTGACTTGTGCAGTTACTCAAAGCTGAGGCAACTGCAAGCATTAGTGTGATGTGACAGAGGAACTTGGGACTTGGGGATGTGGCTGGTGAAGCCCTGGCCCTTCCAGCCAGGGCTGGTAGATCAGGAAGGCGTCCTCCCAGCGTCTCCTGTCCAGGCAAGAGAGGAGCTTGGAGCCTGATGCCAGAGTGCTGTGCTTGCTTCTTTCCTTTCTGCTGAGGGTGCAGGCTGAGGGGCTTCTCCTAACTGCAGGGACAGGACAGAATGTCTGCCAGGGAGGTCCTGGCCACACAGAAACAATGTCTAGGTGTGTTTTCTTCTGTACTAAAATCTGGCTTAGCCATCAGTGTGAAAAAGCTAAATGTCTGGACAATCTGGACAGTCTCCCTTGCTGCACCCAACATCTGTTCCTGTATGCTACATCCAACTCTTTATCTGCCCATCTCCATTTTGGAGCTGCAGATATTCCCAGTTTCACTTACATACTGGTCCCATCTGAAAGGCTGCAGCAGTCTTTGTGGCAGCTTAGAAACTTAAACTCTTCTGTGTGCAAACACCTAAAACTGGCTTAAACTGACTTAAAACTTGACTTGCATTGATTTAATTTGCCACAGTCGTTTTACAGAAGAAAAGTTGAACAGAATGTGTACCCATGGAGAGTTTTGCTCTTGCTTAATTGTCCAGTTTGTATATAGATAAGCCTGAGCTTTGATTTGGTCTTCTGTATGTGAGGAGTACACATACATACATGCATATATGTATAAAAATATATATTTGGACTTGTGTGTATAGCTTGCTATGCGAGATACTGCATTTTATGGTGCACGAACTGCTCAGTGATAGCTTCCAGTGTGAACCTACTATGAGTACTAGGTGATGCCACTTTCAAAATAGCATGTTAGTCGGTGTTTAAGAGTTCCCACATAAGAGATAATACATTGTAAATTTACACCCTTGCTTACAGCTCGTTCTTTTCCCCAGGTAGACAAGCCCTTTCCCTCCCAAACTCCTTCCTTCACCTAGATGGATTCCTCTTTACCTCCCACACCTAAGTCTTTGATCTTTCTGCTGCGTGAGGCAGCCCATCCCATGTTGGGATCCTGGCACTGCCCTCTTGGATGCTGTTGCATTGCATCTGACTCACTACAGCATCAGAATCCCACGCAAAGGACCTTTGGGGCTGGAGGGGAATTAATATTTTCTGTCTGGCTGACGTACAGTACTGCTAGCACCGCAGTAAAGGATTGCTACAGAGGCGAGGGGTTGCTGGCTGTGTGCTATCCCTGTTCAAGTTGTGCTGTCAGAGCAAGTTTTAGCAACTTGACATTAAGAGATTGTTTTCAGGTCCACTGTTGAGAATGCTGATGGGGCCATGCCATTGTTAGGAACAACAGAAAGCCTATTGGAATATTTTCCTGTTGAAAAAAGGACGTGACTGGAAAGTGTATCTCAGTCGATCCTATAGAAAAGCAATGTTTTCCTTCACGTAGGGGCAGTTTTAGATACAAACAGTGCCTGTGCCTTGTCAATCTTGTGCTGACTTGTAACTCTTTAGGTTATCTGTATCCTCCCAGTATAGATTTGAGGCTTTGCTACTGTCTGTTCCTGCATTTCCACATGTCCTGTGCCAACTCCCTTCCCCAGAATCCACTGGCACAACATTTACTTTACTTTTGTGAAGCCCTTGAAAGTACTGCCAAAGCTTGGACGTACAGTTTCAAGCATTTTGCAAAAGCATTTGGAAAGCAGAATCATTTAATCTCTGCTAAAAGCAGAGAGAGCCTTAATGAAAGTGTCTCATTTGCTCTGTTTTTCAAAACCAATTTTGACTTCACTGTAAATATTTTTTAAAAAGTGGCATGGCTTTTTGTTTGTTTGTTTTATATCAGTTATTCTGTATCTCTGCAGAGGTTACGGGTTCGTGAAATTCACGGATGAACTGGAACAGAAAAGAGCACTGACAGAGTGTCAAGGAGCTGTGGGGTTGGGCTCTAAACCTGTACGCTTGAGTGTGGCTATACCAAAAGCGTGAGTATAAGAGCAGCCAGATGTTTATATAAGAGCACTGTGATGTGAAATCAATCACATTGTATTGTTAAATGTGTCTTAGTGGTTTGGGTACATTTCCTGGATGTTTCCATCACAAAGTGAAGGAATACCCAAGAATACAGTAAAGTAGCTAGTGTATCAGAATGCACAGGAATTCAAAACAATTATAACATTAGATCAAGACTAAGCATTTTACACTGTTTTTAATTGTATACATTATTAAATACACACACATGTACACACACTGTATTTAAATATGATTCTTTTTAAAGTATATGTTCCTTTGCATTAAATTGAAATAGTCTAAATCTGCTTATTGATTTCTGGATAGCAAAGCTCAATTACCTTGCTAATTCTTTTATATTGTCTACTAAATATAAGTCTTTTGGGGCAGGGATTAACTTTTTTTTCTGTGTTTGTTCAGAACCTGATACAATGAGATCCTGGTCTGACTTGGGGCTCGTAGCACTAGGGTAATACGAATAATAGTAATTGCTCCCTATTTGAATAATATTTAGATTTTCAGTGACCTCAGAAGTCTTGGGGGGATAAGGAAGAGAAAAGCAGAAAAAGGGGGTGTATCGTGGTGAGAAGATTGATGTTTCCTTCTTCCTACTTCTCACTAATTTCATCATTAGACATAGCTTTGTGTGACGTATTTTCATTTTCAAACAATATTTGTCATCTCATTATTTCAAATCTTGATAATCAGATGGGATTCCCAGCTCCTTGGGAATGTGAATTTTAGTCAGCTCACAGGCTATTTAAGTTTATTTTTTTAATCACTTGCAGTCCTTTTTACTTCATGAGCTTTTCCAACTCTGTGCATTGAAGATCCAGTTCAGTGAGAATGGGGACAACCAGTCATTGCTCAGGCTTCTGTACGATAGTGGCAGAAGGGAGAGGTTTTTGTCCATTCTTACTAAACAAAACCCCAGTTCTTTTGCAAGGCTCTAAGTCTTTAACTCTTCATGCAAAGCAAGACTCAGTACCTTCTCTCAGGAAGCTGCAGAGTATTTAACTTCATCCTATTTATCAGAAGGAAAAAGGGACCCAAGAATCTGGATCGTGGTTTAGGACTATTCTAAACTGAGGCTCATAGTCCTGAACTCTTCCCAAAGCTAGGAAGTGATACTAAATTAACTTATAAAGAATGAAAGCAATGTTTATTAATGAAGATGAATATGAATACAGAAAAGGGTGTTAAATTTAAACCACATCTTTCTTTCTGCAAATATATGCAAATGATAAATACTGCTGCAGTAAATAGTGAATATATTTTGAAGACTGAAATTTGCATGTTAGACTAAGCCTTCTCTCTGTACCATATTGTATCTTAAGCTATTTCACTGCTTTTTTTTTTTTCATAACTGTTCTGCATTATTTGCAACTTATTCCTACTTTATTTTTTTAAGTAATCGCGTGAAACCAATGGAGTACAATCAGATGTACAACTATAATTATAACCAATATTACCAACAATATCACAACTACTATGCCCAGTGGGGCTATGACCAGAACACAGGCAGTTACAGCTACAGCTATCCCCAGTATGGATACACACAGAGCACAATGCAGGTAGGACAGTGCGACGTACTTGCTCTTCAGTGATCTGTCAGCACAGAAACACAACATAGCTTACAAAATGGTGATGGGCACATTTTATCTTCAAGCTCTGGGGTCTTAATCTAGCTACTTGATGAGGAAGCAAAACTGTTCAGCAGCCCCTGGTGTGTACTTTTGCCTTATGTGGGGGATATTGCTGGGGCTGGAGGGATTAAAAGGTCTGGAGGACACAAAGGGTCTCTTAATACAGTTGTCACGGTAGACGGGTTCTCTTGATATGGGCAGTTGGAGGGGAAGTGCTAAAACTGCCTTCTGGGCCCTTCACAAGCCTTGTTTTAGAGGATAGAGCAGATCAGGACAGCTACCCAGCTTCACCATAGGAATTTCAAGTAAGAATCTCTGTAAGTTTAGTGTGGGATCTACCCCATGGAGTCTGTTGAGAGTGGAACACGGGGCTTTTGACTGAAGAATTCTGTTGTAATCAGTCAGGTATAAAAATCAGTATATGACAGTGGTGATCAACAGGTGATGTTTGGGAAAGAAAAGATAAATATCTGCTGTCCTAAGAGTTTGGTTTTCCTTGCAGACATATGAAGAAGTTGGTGAGGATGCATTGGAAGGTACGTTTCTCGAATTCTATATTGAAATTGTCTGTTTGTTCTGCACTGATTAGAGATAGTCTTTCTCAAATTAGCACTTAATTTCAATGTATAATATGCCTTTATCTTTGAGTAAATCTGAGGTCTGGAAAAATTTGTGGGTCACTATCACCTAGCGCAATTGCATCCTTATTTTACAGTTGCTGTTCCTAGTGTGAACCTTGTCAGGACTGAAACTGATTGACTTCGCTAGCACTGAGATTTTAATCTTCTATAGTACTCCAACTTTTATCCTATTTTTAGTGTTTTTTCTGGTATGCCACAAAAACAGTGCAGATATTCTGGTTTTCTGTAAAATCTTGGAATTTAGAGCCCAGGATACTTCACTGTGCTTTTAGTTTAAAAAAGAAATAATATCAGTTAGCACACTGATAAAATATTTGCTGTAGCCATCATTGCTTGAAATGTGCCACTAAACTATGTTGGGATTTTAGAAATACACGGAAGCAGTTTTCATTTATTGATGCAGGAAAAACTAATTTCATACTGGCAGTTCCAAATTTCTGTCTTGAGTGGAATATGCACGATGTAGTGTATCATACTCTTCTCTTTAAAAGGATTTTAAAATCACATGTTAACAGTAGAAAGCAGCTGGATCCTTTACAGGATCCATAGGTATCAGTAATGATGTCAATGAGAAAGCCCATAATGGCTTTTAAAAGCATTACAGGAGAGCTTTCCTTTCTCTGAAACTAACACACTAGTGCTATAGTTAGAATATCTCTGGGGTGTCTTTTTCTCATTGATTAAATTAATATGTTGAAATTTGTAGGAAACTGAAATAAAGTATTGCCAGTGTGTCATTTCTTTTTCTTAATTCTGCTCTCCTGCGATGTGTTACATGAGCTAGCTAAACCCAAATGTATTCACACGCATTTTATTCCTGATGGGTTTTGTAATTTTTTCCCATTCAGTCAGCGAGTTGCTTTGCACTCTGATAGTCACTTCCTAACCTGTGTGATCGTGCTCCTCTGATAACCTGGGCTTTAGATTGTGGGTGCTGTTAGGTGAGCTCTACATCCTACAAGTGGTTTGGGGAATACGATGAGTCGATCATTGTGAAATGTTAAGTGTGCATTGGTAGCAGCAGAATTGCACTCGCTGGCTTGCTGTCCAGCTCCAAAATGTTTTACAGACGTTTCTTCCAACTGTAAAATAGGGGACATGTTCATAACGTAATTCACTGGGTGTCACTGGCACTTCTTTGGTTACTAACTGTGAAATGCTTTGAGATGTTCGAGGCTTTGGCAGACGAGCTCTGGTGACTCTTGTTGCAGCAGCGTAGGACGCTACCGTCCCCAGCCATCCACTCTGACCCTGTAGTGGAGGGAGCAGAACGGAACGGGTGCCTGCGCCTCCGCTCCTCCACTTTGCAGTCCGGTGCCTTAGTGCCAACCCACCTTCTTTGGCAGTTTAAGTGGCTACACTGGGCTGCGAGGTGCAGGTATGCGTTCTCTCTGTTGACTCTGCTATGGGGGCAATCGCCACTGGAAAGAGGGACATATTTGGATGTAATTTCTCACCGCACTGCAGAAAGATTTACTAGATCTAGTCAGGTTTGTGATTGGGCAAGTGCTGAGAATGTTTTGTGACTCCCCCTATGTTTGATTTAATGCAACTAACATGTTTATGGGCATGCGGGTTTTTCCTCACACATTTGGTTTGTGGGGTTTTTCCTCACAGGTTTGGCATGTGACCTATTTGTCTGTCTTTTCCTCCTTTAGATCCGACACCTCAATTAGACGTCCACGAAGCAAATAAACAGTTTATGGAACAGAGTGAAGAGCTCTACGATGCCTTGATGGACTGTCATTGGCAGCCTTTGGACACTGTCTCGTCAGAGATTCCAGCCGTGTTATAGCCTCGTTGCTGAGGCACTGTGTCTGTGTGACAAGCCCGCCAGTGCGCTCCGGACTGTTATGCTGCACCTGGATCCTGCAGTAGTGAGGGGTGGCCCTGTCACCACCCAGGTCTGTTACTCGAAGTACAGGAGGACTGTGGCCTTTCCTGTACAGAATGAGTATCGTAGGAGCATCATGGTAACTTTTATTCATGGTGAAAGTTAGAACTGCAACAGTTTTATTCCTTTTGTCTTGAAATGAACTCTTAATACTTATTGGGAATTGTAATTTATAAACTTTCAACGAGATGGCACAGGGGAAAGACTCTACTCCAACGTACAATAAAAAAGTTGGTCTTTTAAGTAAAATTACCCTTTGCATTTTGGTTCCTGCCCATCTTTCTGTTTTGCTGCCCATTTAACTGTCTTCAGTCATTTGATCCAACTCTCATGAATGTGTTATTTTTAAAAAATCATTGTTGGATACCGCTAAAATGTCTCAAAAGCTTTCTAGTGACTGGGTAAGGTTGCTGTAACTTGAGCATGGGAAAGAACCATGTAGATGAAAGCTTATGTTAAGCTGTGATCTTGAGCTAGCAAGTTTGTAGCTTGGTCTTCTTAAGCAATCTACCCTGAAGAGCATTTTGGAGAGTAAAGACAGAAAGGAGCGTTATAAAACTACTACAGACCGATGCCTTCTACTTGGTGATCTTTCACACGTTTGGCCTGCTTCTCCACCTGTGTATGAGGAAATAATGCCCCATCAGTCAAGCAGTTTAAAACACTTTTACCGGCCACCTTCTTTCAATGTTATTTTGTGCACCATGCCTTTTTTCTTTGTGGACACACCGTGATGGTCTCATTGAGATGTTAAGATTTCATAGCGTCTTCCACTGTCCTGTCAGAGTGAATATGGTGAAGCTGAAGATCTTGCAGCAAAAACGGGTCAGAGCAAGCCAATCGATATATTGTGCAACAAATTGTTGCTAACCTGGAAAGCAGTTTTCTACTGGATGTTGTATAAGCTGGATGGACAAGCAATATATTTAAGCTAATATTATGTTGCATTAGAGGTGGAAGTGAAAATAATAGCACTTATGTACATGTTATAAGCCCTTTTCAGGCTTTCGTGCCTTAAACTCTTTGAGAAATAGGAACAGATAAACTACCTGTAATAAATGTCTATCCAAGAAATAGTTTGGTAACTGAAATTGCTACTGCAAAGCATTTAGTTGCCTCCCTGCCCATGTTGATACCCAGATTTGCCACAAAATTTAAATACTTTCATAAAGCCTACTTCTGCTACACCTTTGTTTGTGTCCATAATTATGATATATTTGTCAGTCTGCGGTCTTTTTATCAACTGCAATGGTTAACGCACTGTGAATATGAGGGGAATGGTGACATATCCTGGAGTTAGTGTATTTTGGAACGACTGAAACTGGAGGACTACTGGACCCTTGCTTTCTCATCTGCTGTGATTTTTTTCCTCCTGCTGTGCATTTGACTGTGCCGTGGGCTGCTAACAGTGTCCTAACCTTCAGTTACTCTGAATTTAAGGAAATGAATGTCCCCTGCCTGTGCTGGTAGTGTTTCAGAGGCAGCAGAGAAGTGGAAGTGAGCAGAGTGCTTTTTTCCTTCTGATGTAGCTGGTCAGCTCAGATGATGCCTCTCTTGAAAAGTGCCTGTTGAACAGAATGGCGTTTCAGAGGTGATGTAAAGAAGGGGGTTTTATGTTCTGATGTTAACTGCTTTCTAGATCGTTCTGTTACTGTCTGCAACCGTGCTACCCTGTATGCCCTTCATGCTCCTCTTTTGGACCTTTCTCTCCTTGTCCCCCCAAATCCTAGCTGTTATTATGCAGGTCTCCCTAATGTGCTGTGGGAGGTGACCTGAAGCCACACTTTATCGATACAAATTTATGCTGCTATTCTAAGGCTGGCCAGCATTGCTGTCCTGTGTAATATTTCCTAGTGCATGGATAAGCCATGTCCTGCTAAGTCTGTCTGTAAGGGACAGTGGAGCAGGTTATCGCAGAGCAGCACCCCATTTTAGTCTCTGCTTTTCTTTCTGTGGCCATTAGAGGTTGGTAACGTTTAGTCCGATCCATCACAATCCCCTGGTTTCTAGGAGAGCTGTGTATGCACACAACCCGTGGGCCCTTACGCGGAGAACAATTTGGGAGTGCAGAGCCCAGCAAAGATTACCTGCTGCAGCCCGTTTTTTACTGGGGCCGCAGAGCTTAAAATAGCTCACGCATTTCCTTTTAGGAGGGACGTTGACATGAGGCTTTGGGCCACCTTCCCCTGATGTGTGAGCCAGCCTTTTGGGGTTGTTTGCAAGAATCTTGGCCAATGTTCTGTTGACCTGTTAATCTCTTTGCACTTTTTGTTGTGTATCACTTATTCATCTTAATGTTCATTTTCAGCTCCTGGCCATTATTGCAGCATCTGAAGCACAGAGGAAACTTTTATGTGGAGCTACAAAACAGCCGGTCACCTGGATTTTGTAGGGTTTGTGTTTTGGAATCCAAGTTAAACAGAGTGTGGGATTTTGTTTCTCATGGATGGCTACAGGAAAAGCCCCGATTAATTACCATTTAGTGTAACACAAGATGAAAGACAAGGACTCCATGTAGTAAGGTAAATTCTGCTTTTATCTTTATGTGCTAAAGGCAAGAAATCCAAGGCAGATAATATCACACTTTACTGGGATTATGTAATTCTTGAAAATTGCATCAAAATCTGCAACTGAGATGATGAAGTATTCTACCTTTCAGCATGCAATGTTTACTAGTAATTACAAGAACAACTCAAACATTCCTACTGTGTTACTTGAAAATATGATGATCCAATTTAGATTACTCTAAATTGCAGGGACTCTCGGATTACCATTTGAGTTACATAGACTGAAAAATGTCGAGCCAACTGCAGAGCTGGAAAGACGTGGGCGTTACTTCTGTTGGGCATGAAGTGGTGATTTCCAAAGCGTAAGCTGCAAGGCTGCGGGGTGGCCTGTTGCCATTAACATGTGTTTAATTACAAGCTTGACAGTCAGCATTGGGGCTGGCCTGTGAGAAATTCTGACCGGCTCTCACTTGGATGTGGAGTCTGAAACCATTTCTGTAGCGAATGGGGGTCGTACCAGCGCAGCCCCGTGTATGGGTTGCGGGGTCTGGTGGGGACCAGCGATGATGTTTTCCATGTGTCTGTGACTAGAGAAAATTCCTGTTACTTGAACGGGTTTCAGGAGACGGGTTCATATCCCACACACCAAGAAGTACCGAACGCCCTTAGGTATTACTCTGAATCCCTTTTGAGGAACAGAGATGTTTGACTCCAGTCTTTCGTACTCAGTTTCTCATTACCAGCTTGCTAATCCCCAGCTTCTGCTGAACAAGATCTGAGAGGAATTTTTACCTTCCAGCCTTGCTATCTCCCAGTGTATCTTGTAAAGCATACTGGATACGCCAGTTTCTGGATTTAACTTGGGATTTGCTTAGACATGAAATTAATTCAGTGGTAGGACAGGGTATGAATTTTAAATGCAGTAGCGACTGATAGAGCTAGTTCAGAAAATGTCACTCTGATAAAGCTTGCTTTACCTTTTTGCTTGGTTAGAGGGTCTCTTCAGAAAATATCTCCTTTGTTTTTTTTTTTTTTTTCAAGTTACTATGCTTTTCTTCCTTAGCAGGTATTCCCAGTGAAAATGGTTCTACCAACTGCAGTCAGTTTTGTAAGAAGGGTTTTGGGGGTGCTGCTTGGTACACAGTTTTTCTCAGACGATATGCTGGTTTTGCTGTAAAATTTCCAGGGTCAAAGCAATGGTAGATAAGGCAGTTACGGCAATACAGCTTGTGAGCTGTGTGTGGCCAGGGCTTGTCTCGTCCCCTCAGCACACAGGATCCCCGAGGAGCTGCAGGCACAGCAGCCCACCTGGATCACTAAGTCCTACTTGCTTTTCCTTACTGTTAGTTTTTCGGAGTGCTTCCCCGCGGGTTGTCTGCTCCCACCTGTCTGGTGGTGGGAATTGCAGCCTCTTCCAGCTACTGAAGAGGCTGATGTGAGGCTCCCAGCCATACCAGGAGGTTTCATCAGGGTTTTGCTGACCGCAGACATGCAGTGGGATTTTCTCTGCTCCTCTTTGGATCTCCACCCATCTTTTTGTGATGGGCTGAGGTCTACTGAGCATCTGTTGGTTTTCAGTATTGCTCTTTGGGGATTCTCCCCAGTTGGCGTTGTTTACTAAGGTTTGAATTTTTGCCAAGAGTTTTTTCTCGCTACAGTGAGCTCCCAGTTTCTGTCCCGCCCTAGGATTTGTCAGGGAGATTTCTAGGTTACCTTTGCATGGGTCTTAGTGCCAAGGAGAACCCGGGCTGCCCGAGGAATGCCTCGTGACTTGGCAAAGCAACCACAAGATAGATGGAGGAGGTGGAGGACGGGACCAGCTGCTTGTAACCTGTCCCCACCAGCTTTGACAAGGGCTGGGTTTAGAAGAGCTTGGCCGCGCAAGGTTTGGGGCTCATTGCCAGACTTCTGCACCAACGGGTGCCTGGCTGATTTTGTTGGTAATCTGGCATTTGTTGTGGGGTTACCAGCTTGAAAGGGCAATTCCTGATCACTGGGAATGTTTTCATCTGTGAATTTTGCGCAGAACAGATGAAAAACTAACTCGTTCTCCCTCATCTTTTTTGTGCTTTCTCCAGGGCTCAAGGGGAGGAATCAGTCTTGGACTTTTCAGCCTGATTTCTGAAGGCGGCTGTGGCTCCAGCATCAGTACCTGCAGGAATTTCAGCAGTCCATACCAACCAGTTGGCAGGTGCTCTCACCTTAAATCCTTTCCACTGATTATGGATCATGAGCCAGGAACTTGACAGAGGTATTGTTTTGGCAGATAGGCTTTTGTTTCCAAGAAGTTTCCTTCCATTCCCTGAGGGTGGGGTGTTTCCCTCCCCTGCGCCCCAGTTCCCCCCCCCCACCTTCCAAAAGGGAGGAAGGAATAGGAAAAAATGTGTCTGCTGCGTTCACCTTTTCAAAGTGCAACCCCTGATACGGGGAGGAAGAGGGAGGAATTGTCTTTGTGCCGTGGAGAGTGGAGATTCATTGAGGTGCTGCGGGGGGAGCGCAGCTCAACCCCCCCAGTGCAAGTTTGGGGGGGTGTTGGGGCGGGGGGAGGGTTGTGTTGCAAATCACGGTTTTGCTGCTTGCGGGTGGGATTTCCCCTGCCTTCCCTGCTGCTGTCGGGAGAGAGGGGCAAGCTGATCCTTTGGGGAGTGGGGGGACATGGCGGATGGGGGAGCTGTAGGCGGGAAGAACTACAACTCCCAGGGGGCTTTGCGGGAGGGCGCTGCCGCAACAGCCAATCAGCGCCTGCGCTGCTGCCCTCTAAAAGGCCACCGCGGGGCTGCGGCCCCCTCTCTCCGTGATGGCGGCTCCGGTGGGCCCGGGGAGCCGGACAATCCGCCGCCATCTGCTCTTCCCCCGCCGCTTTCCCGCCGCTCGGCCCCGCCACACCGGCGCCCTGCGGGCTCCGCGCCCGGGCGGGGGCGCTTCGGGCCGCTCCGATGGGCCGGGGAGGGCAGCGCGGCCGCGGCACGGCCTTGCTCCCACCCTGCCTCCCGGGCCGGGCCCGGCGTGAGGCCTCCACGGGTGGGTGAGTGACGGCGCTTCGCGGCGGGACGGATGAAAAACGCCCCCTGGGAGAGGCGGCAGCCGGGCGGAGGGGCCCTATCGAAGCTGCGTCTGTCTCGGTGCTGTGGCAGACGCAGTCAAAAAGGAGCCGAGAGCGAAGGGATTTTCCTCGACGGTCGCCGCGCAGTTTGAGCCTCCGTAACTGTCCGGCAACATTTCGGGAAAATACACGGGCCGGGGGGGGGGGGGGGGTGTCTGGGCATCGCAGGGCCTTGGCTGCGGGTGGGGGTGCTGTGAAGGGGAGCTAGAAGAGAGCAGCTACCCCAGATCCCTGCTGCCGGGGTCCGGATTGGTGCAAGAAGAGGTGGGAGGCATCCCGGCTTTGCTGTTTTAAGACTTTCTCTGTCATTGACCTGAAGCTCAAGATTATTTATTCTTCCCCGGCAGTGTCCTGGCTTGGAGGGTGAGGCCAGCAGGTGGGCTGGCTGGTGACGGCCTCTGCTCGGAGCGGGTGAGATGGGCGATCCGGGCTCGGGGCTCTCCCCTTCCGCTGGGAATTTGGTCGCCTTCCCGGCCCCCCGGTGCTGTGGATCCTGCTCGGGGTTACGCCCTGCAGACAAGGATTTAATTTCTTGCTTTGTCAAGATCACGTATGGGTGGTTTAAGGGGGGACATTCTCCAGCATCGCTGGGCTGGACGCGTGGCAGAACTGAGAAGGAAATCTGATCCAAAACCACTAGATCACTCTGCTTTTGCCCCATCTGACACTGAAGCTGCCAGATCAGCTCGGTGGTGACTCTGCATGTTTATCCAAGAGCTGTAGCTCCGTGCAATAGCTGCAGGTCTCCAACAACATGCAAGAGCAACGGGAAGGTCTTTGACTGCTGGGCCTCTTTTGCCTGTTGCTGTCACTCACCCCTCCTATATGTATTTTCAGGAATTAGGAGTTTCTCCTCGCACAGCGCTCGTGGTTTCTGGGTGGGGTGTGTCAGTGATGTGTACTCGTGAGTCTGCAGCCTGCTGCTGATGTTGGGGGTGGGTTGTGATGTCTTCCAGGGTTGCCTCGTGTTTCGGAGCTCGCTCGGCCGGACAGACCCCAGGTGAGGCTGTAACGCCATCCACAGGGCTCCCCAGCCTGTCCCTCCAGATCCCTTTCCCATCAGATCTGAATACCGATCTTGTGGTCGAAAAAGGAGGAAAAATAAAATTCAAACTGGTCTCAGCTTCTTTGCCGGTGCAGTCCTGCTCTGAGAGGGGCCAGTTGGAAGACAGGCTGTGTTGGCTGTGCTCCTTCGGGAGGGCTGGGGTGGGAGTGAAACCCCCTGGTCAAGAGAACGGACGGATGTTGGGCGTAGAGGGCAGGGGTGCTGTGAAAATTCGCAGGCTGGGGCTTGCTTGGGATGGGTTTGGTGCATGATTCCTAGTGTACAGTGACCCATCGACTAAAAATACTTCCCTGTGGTTCTGTTTTATTCAGGAATTGCTCAGTTAGTGGAAAAGGCTGAGAGCTTCTGAGCCCTTGTCCGTGGTGAAGGGATTCAGTTTGCTTCCCTTAAAGCCCGAATCGTGGGGAAGCTGTGACGTGGAGCACGTGAGTGTCCTTCGTGGGGAATTGCCGGGTGTTTGGTGTTTTGAGTGGGTTCCAGTCCTGAGGGACAAAGGGCAGTTCAAGCTGACTGTGCCTGTGCTGGAAGTGGCCAGTCCTTAATCTGGGCTTTGCAGGTGGAAATCATTGACTTCATTAGTAAGGTTTTTAATTGGGCAGAGTGGGGGTGAGACCAGTCACACCACACCAGCCCTCTGAGCGCAGCCTGGTCCGTGATGACGCCTTTCTTTGGAGACTTCTGGATGAATCCTGCGGATATGGGGCTGAGGCCAGGCATGGGCTAGCCAAAACCACTGCCCAGGGCAGGGAGGGAACGGTGGGGAATTCCTTAACCCGGGTGAAATCTGAAGCAAGGCCGAGTCCAACTGCTCTTCATTCAGGCTGGATTATTTTTTATCTCCTCTTAAGGTCTAAGAGTGTGGAGCTGAGCCGAGCCAGTCCCTGAGGGTCTCGGTGATGCGGTGCAAGACTTCAGTCTCTTCCAGCCCTCTCCCCCAGGAGCAGGACCTCTGTGGAGCCAGATCCTGGCTCCCTCCCGAGCCGTGAGCTCCCCCAGGTGGGAGCAGACGCTCCTCAGGGAGAGGGAACTTCTTTGGCTCCAGGTGCTGCCCAAGCTCCCATTTTAAACACTCTGCGTGGAAGAACTGTCCCTTCTGTGGAGTTTTCTCAGGAGAAGAGCTTGGGGAAGGGGTCTGGATGTAAAACGTTTTGAGGGTGAATAAATGCAATCGCTTGAAACCTGTGCTGCATGTGCTCCTGTTTGGGGTGCGTGGCTCTGGGGCGATGCCTCGCTGCCCTTAACCCGCGGCAGGCGCCGAGCGGGGTCCTGAGGGACCCTCAGGCTGAACTTGAGATCTGAGCAGCTTCTTCCACCTGATCCTGCAAGGTGAGCTTCTGCTGGTTCTCCAGGCAGCTGGTCTGTGACCTGGGTGTGCTCTTGGATTTCCTGTTTCTCTCCTGGAAATCGGTGTCTTGACGCTTTTTCTGTGCAAGTTGGCGCTCCTAACACGGGAGTTACCACCTGAAGGAGCTGATGCAGAGCTACTGCCTTGACCTGGCGCTGGACTAACCCTCCAGCCATGGAGCTGGTGCAGCACCCACGGCCGGGGCTTCCCCCTCTGCAGCGCTGGGTCCCTGGGTGCACCAGAAAGCCGGGTGGGAAGTGACAAGGGGTGCACGGAAAAGCTCCTGCCCAGGAAAAGGCAGCGCCTTGCAACATTGCCACCATCTCGTGCTGCAGCCTGGGGTGATGAGTCACCCGTTTTCTCACAAGGGAGAACAAACTGGGGGTGAAAACAGCCCCAGAGCTGCCACAGGGTGAGCCGGGGTTGTCATCCCCAGGGTCTGCCCAGCAGTCGGAGGGGGAGGACGGGGCGGAGTTGGTGCCTCTCGCCCCTTTCCCCGTGGGGATTCAAGACCCTCTTTTCCCCCAGAGCTCGTCCCTTCCAGGTCTCCCAGGATTTTGGCTTCCTTGAGGGGGCACCAGTCCCTCTGTGGCAGCGTGTTCGTACACCCACAGCCTGGCTGTCCCCACCTCTGTCACCAAAGCTGGGACAGAGCTGGCACGTGACAGTAACAGCGTCCTGGGGATGATGACAGAGCCGGCGGCTTCTCCCTCCTCCCCAGGACGGTTTGTTTGTCAGCCCGGGGTGACTGCGAGGCCAGAGCCATCCCCAGGGAAGGTGCTGCGGGGTGGGGACAAGGGTGGAGACCTGTCCCCGGGTCCCACCAGCGCAGGGAAGCGCAGCTGGGTCAGGATCCGTCCAGCCTGGGGCTGGTGAATTTGACCTCCCACCGGGCGCAGCCGCCAGCATGGGGACGGCGACGGGTCCCCCCCAGGACCCCGAGGGACACTACCAGTTCCGCATCATCGTGCTGGGGGACGCGGCGGTGGGGAAGTCGTCGCTGCTGCGCTGCTTCGCCGAGGGTGCGGGCGGGGGGCCGGCCACCCCCTGCCCCACCGTTGGCGTGGAGTTTTACAGCCGCACGGTCCCGCTGCCGCCCGCCGGCAAGGCCAAGCTGCAGCTCTGGGACACGGCCGGCCAGGAGAGGTTCAGGTGAGGTGGGGACAAGGGATACAGCCCCCCCCCCCCCCCCCCAACCCGGGCGGGACCCCAGCACCCAGCTGCCTCATCCCCCCCCCCGGCGTGGGTGTAAAGTCCTCGGCTGGGTGTGCGGGGGACAGACGGTGACGCTTTTAGGGGCTGTTGTGACCTTGTGCTTGTAGGGAATCCGGAGCTGATTTTGGGGCCGGGGGGGGGGGGGGGCGGGGGGGCAAAGGAGCTGGGCTGGGTCCTGGGGTGCTGGTGGGCTGGGTGATTTCCTTCCTGATTTCATCAACCTGGAGCCTGGAGCTCCTGGAAGCGGGAAAGAGGCTCAAATGGGGCGTGAAGGGCTGGAATGCCAGGGGGTCCTGCGCTGCCTCCGGCCCTGGGAGCCTTTTGGGGGGCCCAAGGTTGGTCTAGGGGTGCCCCATTTCTGCCCGATGCCTGTCCTCGTTGACACCCACCCAAGGGTGCTGCCCCATCCCCACTGCACCTCTGGGACGGAGGAACCCCAGAGCCCCTGTAAAACCCCACACATCTCCTCTGGAGCCCCCCCAGTCTGGAGCGGGGGGACGCTGAACAGAAAATGGGGGTGCAGAGGGGTGCAGGCAGATTTCCCCTTCCTGCTCCCGCAGTCCCAGCTGGAACCCCAAAATCCCCCGAGCCCTGCCACAGGGAAGTAAGTGCGGGGGCTGGCGGAGTGCTGGGGTGTCCCCTAAACCCGCCCCCCCCCCAATCTCTGTGTGCCCAGGTCCATCACCAGATCCTTCTACCGGAGCGCGGCGGGGGTGCTGCTGGTGTTTGACCTCACCAACCGGGCGTCCTTCGAGCACGTCCCGGAGTGGTACCGCGAAGCCGCGGGGGACGGGCCCCCCGTTTCTTTCGTCCTGGTGGGACACAAGTGCGACCTGGCGGGCGAGCGAGCCGTGTCGGCGGAGGAGGCCGGGCAGCTGGCCGCCACCCTGGGCATGGCCTTCGTGGAAACCTCGGCCCGCAGCAACCTCAACGTGGAGCTGGCCTTCCAGCTGCTGGCAGGGGGCATCCAGCGGGCGCTGGGGCCGGGGGGTCTCGCCCCTCACCAGGGCTGCGGTGGCATCAGGCTCATCCCTGGCCAGAGCTGCCGCCGCCCCCCGGCACGGGGGGAGCCCCGGGAGCGCTGCCAGTGCTGACAGGGATGGGACACACACGCGGGGATTTTTCTCTCCCCGCCCCAGCCCGCTGCCCTCGGGTGATGCGTGGGGCTGCGTCCCCACCTCAGGTTTGTTTCAAGCCTTAATTTGCAGGGCTCTGAAAAAATAATCCTCCCCCCCCCGCCACCGCCCCGCAGGAGTGTTTTTAATAAACCTGAAGCTTTTCCACACTAAAATGCTGGGCCGAGCGCTGGACCCCTGGCTGGGACGCGCCACGGTGCTCAAGCCATGCCGTGGGGGATGCTCTGCTTCGGGGATGGGGTCGCTGGTGGGGGTAACACCTCCCCCCCCCCCCCCCCCCGCCCCTTCCCATGCCTGCAGGTGGCCGTGGCACGTGCCAGGCGTTCTGTCCCACGGTCACCCCCTGGGAAAATGGAACCGGGCACCCCCCCCCCCCCCACCGCGACTGCTTCCAGCTGGATGGAGCCAAAATAAAGGGAGAAAAAGGGCTTCCCGTGGCGGGGTGGGAACGCCTCTTGGGTGGAGGAGTGCCCGGCCCTGCTTGCCTGCCCCGACACGCACCCGGCGCGGGGGCGACGGGTCCCGGCGGGTGTCGGAGCTGCCGATGGAGCCGCGGTGGCAGTACCAGTTCCGGGTGATCATGCTGGGGGACTCCACGGTGGGGAAGTCCTCGCTGCTGCGGCGGTACACCGAGGGCGTCTTCCTGGACGCCGTCAACCAGACGGTGGGGGTGGACTTCTACGTCCAGTTCGTGGAGCTGGAGCCGGGGCTGCGGGTGAAGCTGCAGTTCTGGGATACGGCCGGGCAGGAGCGGTTCAGGTGGGTCTGGCTCCGGGACGTGGGGTGGGGAGGGGGTGACGGAGCCGGGTGTCCACCTGGATTTGGGGTGCGGGTGGGATATTGTGGTTCCCAGTGACGGGGAGGGCCTGGATACAGCCGTGTCCCCCCCCCACCCCCTTGCTGGGGTGAAGAACCACAACGCCCAGCACTGGCTGAAGGGCCCAGATGAGCCAAAACCAAGGGAAAGGAGCCCTGGGGTTGCCTTGTAAACCCTTGCTCCAGCTCCAAATGGGGTATGGGACGTTCCCCCCCCCACCCCCCCCCCCAAGCACCCTTCTGCCCCACCAGCTGCAGAGGGCTGGGGGAAGAGGCTGGGAGCCCACGGGATGCTGAGCAAAGTGGCTTCCTCAGCTCAGCTGCCTGGAGCCTTCACACCTCAGTGCTGGGGCTGCTCACCGCCACAGGGGACAGGGGACACGGCTGCAGGGGACAGGGGACATGGCTGCAGGGGATGGCAGGCCTGTGGCTGCGAGGGACAGGAGAGCTCCAGGACTGTGGCTGCGGGAGATGGGAGAGCACAGGGAACGTGGCTGCAGGACACGGGAGAGCTCGGGGGCTGTGGCTGCAGGGGACAGAGGCGCTTTGGTGGCCAAGCAGGGACAGAGCTGCCTGTCCCACTTGCTGATACAGCAAAAGGGCCGATTCTCCCCCCTCCTCGTACGGCGGCTCGGGCTCGGTGTGGCGGTTTCGGGGGGGGGGCAGGATGCAGCCGGGGCTGCTCTGCAGGCAGGGGAGATGCTGCCCAAAGCAGCACAGGGGATCCCCGGGAGGGGCTGGGGGGGGCTGCTCACCCCGTTCCTCTTCGCACCCCAGATCCGTCACTCGCTCCTACTACCGCAACTCGGCCGGGGGGATGCTGCTCTTCGACCTCACCAACCGCGCGTCCTTCGAGAGCGTCCGGCAGTGGCACCGGGAGGTGACGGACACGGTCCGGCCATCCGGCATCGTCTTCTTGCTGGTGGGGCACAAGAGCGACCTGGCGGGGCAGCGGCGGGTGGGCAGGAAGGAGGCCGAGAAGCTGGCAGCCTCGCTGGGGGTGCGGTACGTCGAAACCTCGGCCAAGGACGCCAGCAACGTGGCCCAGGCTTTCCAGATGCTGACGGCGGCCATCTACCAGGCGCTGCAAACGGGGCGGCTGGCGCCCACCGAGGCGTGGGACGGGGTGAAGAGCAGCGTCCCGCTGCCGGCGCCGCCGCGCGAGGCTCGGCGGCCGGAGAAGGAGGAGAAGAGGCAGAGATGCTCGTGCTAGAGCTGGGGACGCCGGGGACACGGCGGTGCACGGGAGCTGAGGCGGCGAGCGAGCGGCCGGGGTGCAGGAAGGGGCAGCGAGCGACGGCCGGGGCGCATTAAACATCCCCCCCCTCCACCCCGTTCACCTCTCTGCCTGCCTGTGTTTTCCTGGGGAAGGGGAAGCAGCCAGCGCTGAGGCTGCCCGTGGGAAGGGTGACGTCCCCGCACGGGACGGGGCAGTGATCTGCAGAGCTGGGTGTCACCCCCGTTCCCCTGCTCTCCCTCCAAACCCCTTTCCACCAGGCTGGCCCCAGCCCCCGGCGAGGCCCCACGGCAGAGCAGCGTTGATCTGAATCCCCCCTTTTCCTACCCACCCCGTTCACACAGAGCTGGTCTCCTCCCAGCTCGGGAGGGCAAGGCGCTCTGGTTTGAAGAGGTTTGGAGCTGGAGCAGCCAGTGAACAACCCCGTGTGTTTTGTGTCCCCCCCCACCCCCAGCAGCAGCCGAGCACGGCGGCGGTGCCAGAACCGCTCCCCTCCACCCATCCCGGCGCCACTCCTCGCACTCCCCGGGCTCCTCAGCTGGCAGCTACGTGAGGGGAGGAGAGAGCCCGTACTGGTTTCTGAATTGCTTCGGCCAAGGCGGTTTCCCCCCGTAGGTGCTGGGCGGCTGAGCCCCGCAGGATGAGCTCCACAGCCCCCCCCCTACGTTGCGCGGGGGTTCGCAGAGCTGCCGGCTCCCCCGTCACCACGACAAACAGCACCCACAGCTTCTCTGATGGATCCGAGCAGAGCAGGCAGGGGGACGGGGCCTTTCTTTACGTCCCAGGCAAGCCGAGAACCAGGGTGGCCAAATCCTTCCCCTCACTAAACCCCGGGGGGCAGGAGATCTCTTACCAGAGACCCGGCAACGTGGGGGCTGCCCATTTCGCTTGCAAACCCCCTGCATGCGGTTTGAAGAGCGCAAGACCGTGGTTTTAGATTAATAACTTCTTTATTCATGTAAAACAAACGCAAGTATTTATATAAACACTGACATTACAAAGTACTGGAGCAGGTAGGGGCAGGAAGGAGGAAACAAAAACCTCTACAGATGCTTCTAATACTGTCCCACACAAGACCAAATGCTCTGTCCCTTGGATAATCACTTATACGATAACCCACTTTCAAGTCACAAATAAAAGTCTTTGTTTTGAGATACATTGCGCTCTTGGGGGAATGAGGAAGGGGGAGTAGAATGTTTTTGGCAGATCTCCTCATAAAGTCAAGATATTGCTGCACCGTTAATAAAAAATATATGCTTCTCTGTAAAGCATTAAAAAAATATCCCATGGATGGCATTGTGGAGGCTTCAGTGGAGAGGCAGATATCCCAAAACGCACTGGCGTCTTCTCCCGGCTCTTCCCAGGGGCTATTTCTTGGTAGTTTTGCGAATCAGTGCCATTCTCTGCAACAAGAAAGAGAAAAACGTGGGAAGCCGAGCGTCTCAGACAAGATTACCGCCAAACAACGTGTCACCGTGCAGGAACAAGCTATCTCGGGTTCTCCCAGGACACTGCCTGACTTGTTTCCACACAGGTCTTTCAAGTCCGTTTGAATCTTAATGGGGTCCCAAGCTGGCACCAGAGGAAAAGAAACCGTCTGCGCTCCTCTCCTCGACACCCGGGGCTGGCACGGGGATCAAACCCCGCTCCGAGGCTCCTCTCTCCCTGCCCAGCAGTTGCTGCGGGAGCTTCAGGAGGGGAGATGCATCATCACCCGTGAACTCCGGGGGCTCCCGCAGGGCAGCTCCTTCCCTGGCTCTGACCACAAACTTCAGTTAAAGCAAAATTAAGGGGGGGGGGGTGTGGGGGGGAAAACCCAGAGCTGCTCAGCTCCGATCTCCAGCTGAAATCCCAGGACAAGGGCGTGCCCTCTGTTACGCCTCCCCAGGCCTTTAGGCTTTTTGCACCGGTTTAAATTCCTACGGCGGGGCGCAGCCCAGGCTGCGGACCCTCACGCAGGGGCGCAGCAGGAGCCGTACACCGCTCACAAGGTGCCCAAGCGCAGCGCTGGGCTGAAGACATAAACCAGCCCCGGGAGCTGGAGCCGCGGCTGGTCAGAGCCCTGCGGGTCCCCCGGGGCCGGCAGCTCCCGGAGCGGTTCGAGCGGCTACGGCTGCGGACGGATTTTCTAGCGAAGCGGAGGAGCTGGCAGGGCGTTTCCAGTCCTTTCAGAGCACACGATCTGCAAAAGGGGGCAGCTGACAAGTCGCTGTCTGCAGCTCTCAGTTGGTTTTTTTTTTTTTAACCCTTCCAAGCTGGGCTGCCCTTCAGACAACGGGTACCGCCGCTGCTCTTCGGGCACAGCCCCAGAGAGGAGCCAGGGCAGACTCAATCCTCTGCACAAACAGGCGAGGAGACTCTGGACGGTGTTTCAAGTCCAAACCACTTGGAAGAGGCTACAAATTCACGTCACGCCAGGAATCCAAGACCACCCTCCCCATATCAGGTTTCTACCAAGCAATTTTTGGCGCTCCTGAGGGCTCCTCCTCACCTGTTTGTGAGCTTCTGTAGTGCAGGCTTTTTTGTAGGGCCTGATTTCTTCAGAACCAAAGCCCGGGATCCACATGTTCCACTGACGCTCTGGAAGAGAGCGAGCAGGTCAGCACCTCGTCATCACGAACGTACCGGCAGCGCGCCCGCCTGGAGCCGGTGCTAGATGTGCTGGGGATCCGCACACCAGCTAGAAAAGCTTCCCAAAAGCAGGGTAGCAGAGGGCTGCACACCATTAAACACGGTAAGGATGTAGTCCCCGTGCCAGGGACCTTTCAACACAGGCTGACGGACTGCTACAAACTGCACAGCGGCAAAATTTGGAGAGGGGATGGTTATAAAGGGGGTGGCAGGCACCCCCTTCATCTCCTCATTATTAAGGCATTATTAAGCAGCAACAAATCTGTAGCTACTCACAGGTTTCCACCCCAACACCGTGGCCATGCCCTGACTGCTGGGCGTGCGCCCAGTGCTGAGCTGAGGGGAAAAAGAAAAAAAAATAAAAATAAAAATCACTCACCAAGATGCAACTGGACATCTTTCACTTCCAGGGTGTTTGATTTGCGATGCCGTGCAAGCTGGCAGGCAGCCGTCACCACGCTCTCTATGAAATCATCGGCGATCTGCAACAGCATCTGTGGCAGAACAAGGACAACAACCAGCCTTATCACTACTGAAATTATGCAGAAAGTGTGAAAATGAATCCTCAGAAGCTAGTATTTCAACAGCGTTTTCTGCAACTGCTGTTTTAAAGCCCTTTTTGACACTGGGACGCAGAAACAGACACGGATGGCTGAAGGTTGCAGCGAACATGAGAATACAGAAGTGTAAATTGAACCAACCCTCCCCTGCCTTGGACAAAGAGCCACCAGTTCATCAAAAATCCCAGATTAGCTCTTTCTGCAGCCCCTGCTGTGGGTTGGTACCTACTTCCTCCACATCTTCATCCAGCTGCTCGTTCGGATCCACCTCACGCACCAGGTCCTGCAATTTCTTCTTGGTTAAAACCTGAACGTGTAGAAGAAGGAGGATTTACTGCCCTACTTCAGCAAAGCAGCTGCCTAGGCAGAACAACCACAGAGACCTCCTCCCCCCACTCCCCCCCAGGCCCAAGTCACACATGTTGACACAGCGTATCAGTACAGGAATGGCAGAGATAAGAAACACCAGGTGTTACAGAATCATTTTCAAGCACCAGTTGTTGCTCTGAACTGAAAGTGGAATGCAGCAGGCCAGGATAAATAAGTCTCCTGCACTAAACTGGTGCTAAAATGCCACTGGCTGAAGCGAGGCTGCTGGCAAGAGGGGGCAAAGGCAAAACTAGAAGTCTTAAGAGGCAGAGAGCAAGTGCAAGCAATGTATCAGAGGCTGTATTTGTGCTCAGGGCACAAAGGAAGTATTTCCATGGCTCCAGCACTTATCAGCGTTAGTGTTTCAAATGGAAACCAGAGATCTGTGCCAGTGCTGGGTTACTCTAGGGCAGGAGGCAGCCCCCTCTCAGCCCAAACATGGCAAGGAGCAGGGATTTTACTGCTGCTGAACAACAGCAGGACACTTGGCCTTATAGGATACGGGTGAAAGTTATCACCACTCATCTGTCAGCCCGGTCAGGTGAACCAGACACACAGAGGAAACGCCAGCCCTTCCCGGTCCCCTTACAGCAACGGCGGAACTGCTGCGCACGGGTTTGTGCTGGGGGACTCTTCCCAGAGAGGCCACAGCGCCAGCAGAGCCCGCAGAGATCAGGGTGCACTCCTGGAGCACTTGCTGGGTCAAAGACTCCACACCACAACAAGCAAGCACGCAAGTCAGCGGCTCCCGGCAGTGCTGCTGTCCCTCACACCACCCCAGTAAGACGGAGGCTACAAACCTGCGCTTTAATTCCTTCCATCAAAACCACATTTTAAAAGAATTTCCCAATCACACCTCCAAGAGATATTTTCCTGAGACTGAAAAAACCTCTACACCTACAGCATCCCTAACCCATCCAGCCCAGAAGCACCTGAGAGGGAAGAAATACATAAAGGTGTTTGCTCACTCTGTAACTGCTACTTTAATAGACGTTAAGTTTTTGCAGGTAGTTGAAGGAAGGAGAGGAATTAAGCCACAGGCAGGTCTGAGCATCTCCCCCTGTTGTGCTAAAGTCGGGGATGAAACTAACCTGGTTGCTTTCAGGACTGAGCCGTCCTCCTCCGCTGGGCGTCCCCGGCATCTTTGCCACGGTGGTGCTGTTGGCCATGGAGCTCTGCGGGGGAGTGCTGGCTGGTTCTGGCTTTATCGAGGAGAAGTTGGAAAGGTTGATCAAGGTAGAAGGGCCAAACTGGTTCATAATCTGTTGGGCTTTAGCTTTTAGATCATAAAGCTTATCCAGGTCCTGCTTCTTCTTGGGGTTGTGAGGACCCAAACCAATCAACTGGAAAAAGAAACAGAAGTCACAGTTAGCAAACAGAGAAAGAATTCAACAGGGCAATCATGCCTTTGTCCAGAGTGAACTGCAGTGTCCTGATGGGGCCCAGAGGTTTAGAGAAGATCGGGTCTCTCTGGACGCAGCACGAAGGGAAGAGCAACGTTTAGAAGAGAAAACCTTCCCTGATATATGGAATACAAAGTTTTCGACGAGAAGCCCAGCCACTGCACGCAGCGCCCCGACGAGAGGCGGCAGGTCTGTGGTGGCACTGACCTGCCTGCTCGTTCCTCGGGCTGAATCCCACGCGCCGGTCAGGGCCTTGCTGAACACATTTCACTCGGACCACAAACAGCTTTGGGGAAGAGAACATGCAAAGAAGATTTAACTAAAGAGCACGGCTTGCTCCTGCGGCAGCAATGCAGGGGAAGGGCAGGCACAACGTTCGAGTCTTCATCTCCACACTCCACGGGCCTGAGAAGAAGACAGGGGTCAGGCTCCCTTGGGTGTCTGCTGCAGGCTGGACGTCTCGTTTTTGGCACCACGCTTCAAGCCTGACCCGCAGCAATCCCTTGATGCGGGCTTGACAAGGCTTGCTTTCAGTTCTGAGAGCACAAGTCTGAGTACTCAGAGGTAACGTCACAGAAACACACGTGCTCACCCACACCTTCGATTTGTTCTTCCCACACCGGGCACCAACAGCCACAGTAAATGAAGTCAGATTTATTGAGCTGTTAACAGTGAACCAGAAGCACGCTGCGGCGGCTTAACTGATTACTCAGATCTTCCAGATTCACCCTTCGGTGCCTGAAGTTATTCAGATTATTGGCTACTGAGTTAACACACAAACTGACTGGCAACTACTGTATTTCACGGCTGGAAGGCTCTAAGCCCCAGGGTTGATGAAGCTTTTCTCTGTCCTTACTGCTCCATAAAAGGAAACTCGTCCAAACTCTGGACCTTCCACTCCCACAACCACTGTGGGCAGCGGCAACAGGGCTGTCACGTGAAACGAGCATTTAAGGAATGGTTTGATGGAAAAGCCCCTTATGCAGCAGCTGCTGTTGGGCCTAAGATGGGTGAGGAGCTGCTGCTGAGAGCAGACACCTCTTCTGAAAAGCCTGTGCATCACAGGGCGAATTTACAGGGGAAGAAAAGAGTTTGTTTAAACAGCTTTACAGCACATTCGCATACGAAGTGATGAACAGAGCATCTGCTACCTGAGCTATAAATAAACGTCCTCCCCTCACCAGAGCAAGCTTTGTTAGTTTGGATTAATTCATACCAAAACACAAACCAGAAATCACACAGGAATACTTAGAGGCTGCTGCTTTAGTGCTTCATTCCAAGGCACACTCATGCACTGCCGTCCCTACAGACACGGAGCCCTTTTAGGATTTATATCCAAGACACACTTCTGTAGCACCCTCAGCAAGTTTCTAGCTCAATTTTAACAGAATTAACAATGGAAACCCATTACACTAATACCCTAAAACCCCTCAGCTGGCATTTCTGGATGAGGAACTCAGCACCAGATCAAGAGGGACTTCAGTGTGCTAGTCCTGGTTTTAGCTTAGGCTTGATCTCAGGCTGTTCACCCCACGCCTCACTTCACCAATCCACAAAGCAGGAATTCTTACCCACCATGCAGGGAAGAGCGCCCCGAAATCCTTGGGCAGAAATGACTTTATTAGCATAAAGTCGTTTTGTTCATTAATTTCCGGATCTTACCGCACCCTTTGTGTGCCGTTAAGATCAAACACAAAACTAACGGGATGCGCAGATTCGCAGGACAAATCCCGCATGCCGGCCCTGAGGCAAGCCCCGGCGCTTTACTTACAGCTATCTGAGTGTCTAGATCTTTAATTACATCAGCAACCGCTGTGGGGCCAGCGAATGGAGAGGCCATTTTCCAAAGCCTTCCCAGTACGTCAGCAGTCAGCGTTAACCTACTCTCGCTTCCTCCTCTTCCACGTAACTCTCATTCCTACAGGAACATCAGATAGTTTTTGTATCACCCGTTCTATTGTCAGATTGCAAGAGGAAAGTTTCACGCAAGAGAGCACGACTTGTCCTTACTAGGGTGCGAAGGGGTTTGTCAGAAGATATTACGCAACCGCGAGCAGCATGTAAGTGAGCGCTGCTGCAGAGGTTGAGGCATCTCCCAGGATCCTGAAGCAGGGGTAGAAAATTGGCCAAATTCCATTTTTCTGTCAGAAGACGGAGTATGTTGGTACCTGCTGTCAGCAGGGACATGCAGGTGAGCCCAGACCTCTGCACCAGCAGCTTCCCTCTGCGGCTGGAATAGCTCTGGTGACCACAATTAGCACCAGTGACTCTGAGGAACCTGCTGTAAATCATTAAGCTATGGTGCAGAGTTACAGCTGTAATTAAAATCTACGTTAAAGCCAAGCAAACCTTCAGCACACTCCCTGGAGAGCTCAGGGGGTGCCCCTTTCCATTACGACACAACGATTGTCACCAAATATTTAAAAAGGTTTGCAAAGGACTGTGTGGTCCGGGTGTCTCTTTATTGTTAATAAAGAAAAGCAGGAAAGTTCTTGGGTTTTGCTTTAGTTATTATGTGAGTCAAAGTCCTCCCTTACACTGCTAGAGGCAGCATCTGCTACGAGCACTTATCCCTTATATGCACTTGCTAAAAAGGAACGAATAAGCCCTTTTTTCTTCCCCCGGATGTGTCCGTTAGGTGCTGAAGGGCAAATCAAACCTCCTCCCTGCTCGACACGCAGCTCCCAGCTTCACGTTTTACCCCCGCAGCGCCGGCACCGGCGTCCTGGGAGGCGACAGAGCTCTAGGCACGGCCGCTCAGGAGGTTTTTTTTTCCCTTCCAGCATCTCCCCAGCCACCACCTTAAGGAACTGACCAGCCCCGCCCCCCCCCCCCCCAACCCCGGGGAACGCCACGACGGGACCGAACGAAACCCCTCCCCGCGCAAAACCGCCGCCAAAGCCGTGGGGAAGAGCCCAGGTCACCGACAGCCCCTCACCCCGGCGCCGGGCCGGGCTGTGGGGGCCGATCCCCCCTCAGAGCCCGGGATCCCGCCCTTCACCCCCGATGCTGAGCCGGGGTTTGAACACCGGCTGCAGGCCCGGCCCGGCCCGGCCCGGCCCGGCGGGGCACAGCCCGTCGCGCCCGCTCCCGGCTCCCTCGCGTGTTTTAGGCTGTGAACGGCGGGACGAAACCCCCCAGCAGCGTGGGCAGGGCCGCGCCGTACCTCCCCATGGCCCGCGGGCGGAACCAGGCCCCGCCGCCGGCTGCGCTCCCTCCGGCCGCCGCCACCCGGAACCGCTTCGGCCGGCACCCGCCAATCAGGAGCCAGCCTGGCTACGCATGCGCACGGCCGCGCCCGCCACCGGCATCCTGCCGTGAGGGCGCGGCGGGGGGGGGGGGGGGCGTCCCAGAATGCTCCGCGCTATTTGCATAGCATCCCCGGGGCAGAAAGGCGGGGAAACGGGGAAAAAAACCGCAGAAACGGCGAAAATAAACGCTGAAGAGGCGAAGGCGAGGAAAAAAAAAGAGAGGGAACTAAGCGCCGTTGTCTGGGAGGGAGGGGTGGATCGCCGTGACCTAGGGGAGACCCTGGTGCTTACCGGTGCGGGCGCGGCGGGGGCGGAGCTTTAAAAAGGGCTTCTGCCGTGCGTGGCACGGGGGGGCCCCGCGGCCGCCCCCGCGGAATCGACATCAAGAGATTTCGGAAGCACAATTTTTGTGGTGGGGGTCGCCGGTAACCGCCCGTTCCGGCGCCCCGGGAAGCGTTAACGGCAGGCGAGGAGGAAAAGGGGGGGGGGTCTGCGGGTGGTCCCGAGGCGCCGCGTTCTGCTCGTGGTGTGGGCGGGTCCTGTCCCCTGGGGGTTCTGTCAGTCGGGGGGGGGGGGTGTTTTGCACCCCTGAGCTTTTGTCTCTGTTTTGGGGGGTGGTCCCGCACCCCTGGGGTTCTGTAAGCAGCGGGGGGACACAGTGTGTGTGGGGGGTCTCGCACCCTCAGGGCTCTCTCAGTGGTGGGGGGCGGTGTCCTCTGGGGTGACTGTTGGGTGGGGGGGCGTCTTGCACCCCTGGGGTTCTGTCAGCAGTGTTGGGGGGGATCCTACAGCCATGGGGTTCTGCAAGTGATGTGGGGAGGGGGGTCCCATACCCCTGGGGTTCTGTCACTGGAGGGGGGAGGGCTGTGCAGCCCTGGGGTTCTGTCAGGTGGGGGGGGGACACACACCATGGGGGGGTCCTGTACCCCTGAGGTTCTGTCAATGGGGGGGAAGTCGGGGGGCGGGGGGGGGTCCCACACCTCTGGGGTTCTGTCTGTGGTGAGGTGGGGGGTCCTGCACTCCTGAAGGTCTGTCACTGGTATGGGGGGGTGTCCCACACCCCTGGGGTTCTGTCAGTGGTGGGGGGCGGTGTCCTGTGGGGAGAAGTGGGGTGACTTGGGGGGGGGGTGGGGGGTGTCCTGCACCCCTGAGGTTCTATCACTGGTATGAAGGGATCCCGCACCCCTGGGGTTCTGTCAGCAGAAAGAAGTGGGGGGACCGCGGGGCAGGAGTGGCTGATATATATATATATATATATATGTATTTAAATAGGATTGTTCTTAAAAAAGATCCCCTGGGCCTCCGGGGAGGGGTTGTGGCCGGAGCACGGCACCCCCCCACCCCCCTGGGCCAGGGTCGCTGGGCTCCCGCGGAGCTTCACAAGGCTTCGTGGTACACATGGGAGAGGGGACAGTCCCCCAGCTGGGAGCAGGACCCCCCCGCAGAGGGGACAGCCCCCCCGGGGCCCGCAGTCCGCTCCACCCCGTGGGCTGTGTGCGTCCCGCCGGACCCCCGGCGAGGGGGATCCCCGGGCCGCAGGGTGGGCGCGTCGTACTGAATCGGGGGGCAGCCGGAGAACCCCGGGATGCCGCAGGGGTTCCGGTGGGTGCTGGCGGGCTCCGGTTCGCTGAACGGCGTGGCGTACTCGGGTTCGGGCGGCAGCGGCTCGGCGTACTCGTGATATTTTCCCGGTACATCGTAGTGGCTCACGACCAGCGGCAGCGTGTAGCCCTCGTCCAGGAGGGGTTTGAAGGTGGAGGGGCTCGGCTGGCTGCTGGGGCTCACCTGCACCAGGTCTGGCTCGGCGTACTCTGCAACGGGGATAGAGGGGAGCTGGGGACACGGTCCCCACAGCGGCGAAAGTGGGGTCAGGGTGCTGTTCCAGCTGTGGGTGAGCTGGGAGGGCCAGTGGGTGGGGGAAAAAATGGGTAGGGCTGGGAAAAACTGAGCCAGATGTGTGTCGAAACCCTTCCACGGCAGGACAAGCCACCCCGTGGGGACGGGCGCGTCCCTCTGCCCCAGCGCAGAGCCAGGCTCCTGGTGCCCACCTGCCAATGCCCACGCCTGGGTCTGAGGTGGAATAATAATAATAATAATAATAATAATAATAAGCCCTGCCAGGGTCTCCCTTTTGCACAGGACCATGATGCAGGACAGGGCTTGGACCAGATTGATGCTTGGTGGGAAATGGGCACCCCAGGGCACAACAGGAGAGACACGGCTCTGGGCTGAGGGGGCCCCTCTGCACCCCGATGTCCTCGGGGCTGAGGGGACCCCTCTGCACCCCGATGTCCTCGGGGCTGAGGGGCCCCTCTGCACCCCGATGTCCTCGGGGCTGAGGGGACCCCTCTGCACCCCGATGTCCTCGGGGCTGAGGGGACCCCTCTGCACCCCGATGTCCTCGGGGCTGAGGGGACCCCTCTGCACCCCGATGTCCTCGGGGCTGAGGGGCCCCTCTGCACCCCGATGTCCTCGGGGCTGAGGGGACCCCTCTGCACCCCGATGTCCTCGTTACCTGGCGAATGGGTCTGGCTGAGGTCCCCCGGTGCATCCGCCGTGGGGAAGGAGGCCAGCGAGGAGCTGGGGGGGGGCAGGCTCTGCAGGGAGCACCCAGGGCTCAACTCCACTTTGGGGTACCCTGAGCAGAGAGCAGAAACCCCTGGTTGTCACATGCCATCCCTCGGGGACAGGCAGAGCGGTGCCCCCGGGGGGTGGGTGGGCAGTAGTACTGGTTAAACCACCTGCACCCCTCCTGAATTTTGGCCCTGGGGAGGGGTCAGGGACCCTTTACCTTTCGTCATCCCACCGTTCAGCTCCGCCGCCAGCTTTCTGTTGAGGGGAGAGCGAGATGGGGGGTGAGGGGTCCCAGCCACCCCCACCCACCACCTCGCAACCTGCTGCATGGTTGGGGGGGGGGGGGGGGCTGCACCCCTGGGGACCCAGCGAGCAGCCAAACGGGGTCCCCCCGGGGCGAAGTGGGGGGCAGGATGGGGACCCACCTCTTCCTGCGGCAGAGGAAAGCCAGCAGCAGGAGGCTGGAGCAGAGGAGCACGAAGCCGCCGCTGAGCAGCATCACCAGCAGCGTGGGGCCTGGGGAGGGCGGGCAGCATCAGCACCCATGGGTGCCAGGAACCCAGCCGGGGCCACCAGAGAGTTGTCATGGCAGGGGGGGGCGAGGAATCTGAAACCTGAAGCCCCCCTCCCCACCACGGTGCCCACCTTCCTTCTCCGGGTCCAGGGCGACGCCGGGGATGGGTGTGCGGCTGGCGGGGCGGTTGGTGGGGTCGGGGACCTCCTTGGGGACACTGGGCACTGGGGGACAGAGCGGGGACCGTGAGTGTGGGACCGGCCCTGGGGGAGCAGAGCTCCGGGGGAGGGGGCTCACCGTAGGGCCGGGGCGCGCGGACCCGCGCCGGCTGGCAGCCCACCAGGGCCACCTTCAGGGCCACGCGCTGGTGCCAGCTCTGGGGGGTGACGCGGATGTAGCGGGCGACGATGGGGGGGATGAAGGCGTTGGACACCTCCCCGCGGCTGTCGGCATTTCCTTCAAAGACCTGCCGGGGAGGGTGAAAAGGGTGAGAGTGGCCAAATTTCCACGGGGAGGGGGGGGGGGGTCTGTGGGCCCCCTCCTTGTCCCCCCCCACCCCCGCCGTGCCCACCTTGTCCTCCTGGCCACCGCTGCCTCTGTAGGGTCTCCAGTTCTTCCCGTCGCGGCTGGAGGAGACGCGGTAGGACGTCACGTAGTAGTCGTGCTGCTCGGAGGAGCCCTTCGTGATGATGCCTGTTGGTGCAGGAGCGAGCCCGGGGCCGGGGAAGGGCTTGGCGGGGGGGGGCCACCCTGTGCCCCAAAGTGCCCCATTGTGTGGGGCGGAGCTTTCCCAGCTGGAATAACCCCCATCTCTGGGATACCCGTGGCCCTGCTGGGAGGGGACCAGGCGGGCAGGATACGTCCCCCCCACCCAGGGGGTTCCCTCCAACCTTGCGAGGGGGTTTGGGTGGCAGATTGGGGTGTCGGACCCCACCCCACCCCCCCCAGGAACTGATAACCCCCCCGATCCTGGCTGCCAGCCCCACATTCCTCCCGCCTCCAGCCTCCGGCCGGACAATGTCCCCATTTTCCTCGCTGCGGTCGCCAGCCGCCGCCGCACAAAGCCCCCGCTTTCGGCAGGCTCCGGCCGAACAAAAGGCGCTCGCTGGCACCAGATGCGAGAGCATAATATTAAGTTGTTCGTCCCAGAAATGGTTGCAGATGGAGGGGGAGCAGGGACAAACAGGGGACAAGGGATGGATGGCAGGGGGAGGCGGTTGGTGCTGTCTGCATCTCAGTTTGCACCAGTAAAGCCATGGCGCAAGGTGCTCCAGTGCCTTCTGGGAGGGCTTGCAACTGCTCTGGGGAGTTTTGGGGTCACCGTGGGGATGGACAGTGGTCAGGGCGACATAGGGACAAGGGGGGGTGTGTGTCCCCGCCGATGGCCGAAGCTCACCAGTGACGTTCTGGCGGGTGCCCAGGTCCAGCTCCAGCCAGGCGGCCTCGGAGCCGGGTTCGGCCGCCCAGGAGTGGCCGGCGGTGCCGAGCGCTGCCCGTTCGGCCGCCCAGGCTCGGTCCCGACCCAGCACATCCACCTCTTGCCACCAGGACGAGGCGTTGAAGGTGGCCACCTCCAGCGTGTCCCCGCAGGCTGGCAAGGGGAGATGGCAGGCTGGGAGCCCAGGACCCCCCCCCGCCCGCAGCGGGCAAGGTGTGGGGGGGTGGCACTGGGTTTGGCAGCTAAAATCGTGGCTTAATTTCAGGGAGGGAAAAAAAAAAATACCTTTGTGGAATATGAGCCGTTTCTCAGAGAGGGATCCCCTGCGGGGAGGGAAGTGAGGGGGGAGCATCAGACAAGGGGGTGGGGTCTCCAAAATTGAGGGGTGGCAGGTCAGCACGGGTGGGTCCCACAGCTGGGTGTGGGGTGCAGCGAGGGTCCGCAGCCCCCCCACCCCCCCACCTTTTGGAGTGGAGCCCGTTGGCGAAGGCCGACTCGTAGAGCGTGATCCCCTTCTCCCGGGTCAGGGTGACCTGCCCGCCCAGCTCGTCCGCGATCACCCCGGCGTGCACGGCCGCCTTGCACAGCACCGAGGTCTGCGGGGAGCAAGGGAGGGGTGAGAGCAGCCCCCCCGCCCCGGGCACCCCATGGCCAAACCCATCCCCTGCGGGGTGACAAACCAGAGCCACGGGTGCCACGGACTGTCCCCAGCAGGTGCACCCATGGGTGCTGACCCACGCAGTTGGGCTCTGCACTTACATCCCGGTAGCCCTGGCTCGGGTTGCCCCAGATGTCCCCGTCGATGTCCTTGCAGCCTGCGGGGCAGTACACGCTGAAACACGGGGGGGGGGAATCAGGGCTCGCTCCTGTCCCAATCCCCTCCACGCGCCCGCTTTGCTCCCCAGCCCAAAGCATCTGCACCCCAAGACGCCCCGGGCGAGCGCAGCCCGAGCACCCGGGAGAGGGATGGGGATGAAACTGGGGCTGACTGGGACCGGCAGCGATGCCAGGGCAGGGGACAGCAAAGCGGGGACCGCTTGCACCCCCCCGGCCACTCACCTGATGTGCTCCTGGGTGTAGTGGGTGCCCCGAACCAGGCAGGAGACCAGGTCTGCAAGGCAGGGACACCCCGGGGTGAGGGACCCCCACAGCACCCACCTCTGCCCCAGGGCACCCCATCCCAGAGGGGCAGGGAGGGGTGGCCCCTCGGTCCCCACAGCCATCGGCCTCGTGCCACCACCTGCGGTGCCTCTGGCTCTGCCTGATATTGGGGTCCCAGCTGACCTGGGGGTCTGGGGGTGTGGAGTGGGGGGGTGGGTCCCAGCTGGCTGGGTGGCCCCAGGGTTGTGACCCCAGCCGGGTGGGTGGGGGTCTTCAAAGAGCTCGGGGCGATAGGAGCCCACCCCGAGGTCTGCAAGGAGCCTCCTGCACCCCTGTGGGGGGGGTGTCTCTGCATCCCTGGGGGAAGCTCCCCCCTACCTGGGTGCTGGGAGGTGGCGTAGGACAGGAGGAGGCCTCGTCCCGAGCGGTGGCTGGTGCTGTTGAACAGGACGGTCACAGCGCTGGAGTTTGTCACCAGGAGCGGGGCGGCGGGGACGGCGTTCCTGCAGTAGGGCCCTGCCCGCGGGGACGGGGCGTGGAGAGGATTTGGGGTCCCTGGGAAGGGGCACCTGCACCCTGGGGTGTCACCTCCCCTGGTTCAGATGGGGGGGGTGGAGACCAGGCATTTGGGCTGAGCTTCAGGTTGTCCCAACCCCAGAGCAGCTACACCCACGCTATGGGGGGGACCTGGGTCGCAGCCCCCCACAGCTCACCCTGTGCCCCGCCTCCCCCCCCCCCACTGTCCCAATGTAGCCATGAGCAGCACCCGGGGGGGGGGTGGGGGTGGTGGACACAGCCCCCTGGCACAGGGGTTAGAGCTGGACCCCCGCTCCGGGGAGGGGGGGTGGGATCCCTGAGATGTCCCCCCCACCTTCCCCAGCGGGGACAGACGGGTTCCAGTTGGGCAGGGCCCCCCCCCCCCCACACACACACTTCCCAGAACTGCTTCCCCCCAGGGCCTCTTCATTCCACCACGGCTGGGACAGCGCAAGTGGCCACCAGCCCTTATCAGCCACTTGCCACCGTGGCCCCCGCTGCCGGGACTGGCACACACGGCGTGGCCCCACAGGACCCCGAAATGGGGGCTGTGTCCCCATCCCCTCCCCGCCTGCTCTTCCACAGGCGCCACCAAAGCTGCCTCCTAAATCCCCCACCACCACCCTGTTTAATCCAAATTAATTTGCAGTCTCCATCTCCCTGATTAAAACTTCGGCTTAGCAGGCAGGCAGCCTCCTTGGGGACATCTCTGATCCCAGCTGGGGACAAGAGGTGGCCCCAATCCCCAGACTGCTATCACCACCCCCACCCCCCCATCTCTGCTCGGCGTTGTGCCCATCACCGGGGCCTTGGGGCGCCCAGAGATGCTTCGAGCAAATGCCATCGTTGCCCTGGGGACAGGGAGCTGTGTCCCCGTGGTGCTGGTGGTGAAAAGCCACCGTGGGGCTCACGCCGTGCCTCGGTTTCCCCACCCAACCTGCACCCTCGCCCCACCTCATAGCAAACTGAGAGGCCGAGCCTGGGGGGACGTGGGACACGGGTGTGTGCAGGGATGTCACAGGTGTGACAGAATGCGTGTTCTTGCAAATGACATGCAGATGAGATGCAGATGATTTCCCACCAGACGCTGCCCTGGGTAGATGCTGTCACGTCTGGTACGGTGCCTACCCAGCCGGCAGCTCTGGGGACCCCCTGGGTGCTGGGGGACCCCTCGGCCGAGCCGTGGGCTGGAGGGGGGGTGGGGGCCACCCCCCACGGGGACCCCGGCGTGTCCCCAGGCAGGATCAGGCCGGGCGCCAGACACCGGGTCTGAGTCAGCGGGAGGGAGCCCACAACCTCCGCCTGCTCCGGCCGCTTCCCGAAAAACATCTGGGACTTCTCAAGGGCTGGCGTCAGCCATGGGTGAGGGACCCACCCCCCCTCCGGCCCTGCACCTCCGCCAGCCCCCCCCCAGGACCATCATCTGGGGGGTCCCCCTATTCCTGCATTGCTCCCCCCCAGCCTGGGCCAGGCAGCGTTTCGGATTTGGGATCCCAGGAGATGGGGACAAATGTGTCCCTGAGGCCACAGCAGCGGGGATGGGGATCGGGGACCTCATGTGCTGTCACCCCTCTGCGTACCAGCCCGGAAAGGGTGAAAACCCTGGAGAACAGGGAAAAAAATCCCGGTCCCGGGAGCAGTGGCGGATCCCAGCTGGCTCCTTTCCACCCTGCATTTCCCATAACGTCCGCTGCCCCTCACCGGGCCTCGAGGCTGCTCTTCCATCCCACACCACTGACACCCCAACAGTGACATTTCCTCCCCCCTTCCCAAGACGACTCCCCCAGCACCCGCCGTGCGCCCGGTGCTGCCAAGTCCCTCCAAGACCGTTAAATCTCTCCGGGAAAATCCTGGAAGCGTTTGGGCAGCCGCTGGGCAGACGGAATCAATTAATCAGCAGCTGCATCTGCTCCCAGCTGGCTGCTCCCCCCACCCCGCTTTGGCAACAGCCCCTTCCTTGGGTACCCCCCTCCTCAAATATCCCCCTCTTCAGGTATCCCCCCTCCTCAAATATCCCTCTCCTCAGGTACCCCCTGTACTCAATACCCCCCTCCTCAGATATCCCCCTCCTCGGGTATCCCTGTCCTTGGGTACCCCATACCCCCATCCTTGGGTACCCCCTTCCTTAGATATCCCCCTCCCTGGATACCCCCCCTCCTTGGGTCCCCCCCCTCCCCATGATGAAATCAGCTAAAAAGCCAAATATTCCTGATATTCTTCTGATCCATGGCCACATAATGTGATCTCGCTCCCCCTCCCCCCCCATCTGCAGCCCCCCAGTGGTGGGTGCTGCCTCAGTTTCCCCCCCACACCCCCACCTCACACCCCCCCCCCCTTACCATAAGCGGTGCCAGCCTTGGGGTCAGCCAGCAGCAGGGAGCTGCGGGCGCAGCGCTCGGAGGGCTCCAGGTCCACGTCCCCAAAAGCCAGGAGGAGGGAGGTGCCGGGGGGGGCGCGCAGCCGCCAGCGGCAAGCGGTGTGGTTGGGGTACGTGCCCGGGTAGTTCTTGGAGCTGAGGGTGCCGCTGTGGGGGGTCAGCAGCGTGTGGCCGCAGCCGTCCCCTGCAGAGAGACCCGGGGGAGGGGGGGGGGGGGGCTCAGCCAGGCTGCTCCCTGCCTCAGTTTCCCCACTTGACATGGCCCTGGGGACACCCCAGAGGCACCTGCAGCCCCTTCAAATGTTTTCCTCGTCTGAAATATAAAATTTTTTGTGCGACTTTTCTGGCTGTCCCCCCCCACAGGGGACAGTCCCTGGCAGGGACTAAGCTGCAGGGATAAAGCTGCCTCAGTTTCCCTCACAGCCACCCTCACAGCAGCACCTCCAGCTCCTCTCTGTCCCCCAGCCCAGGAGAACCCCAATTTTTGGGGATACACAAGGCTGCAAGGAGGAAACACCCCCTGCCACAGGGCTGTACACCAACAAGCAGCCCCTGGCAACCCTTGGCTGCAGCCTTGACCTTGAGGATGACCTTGGGCAGCTGCATCCCCATCTCCTCCTCCCCAGGGCGATGCCAGCACCCACCATAAAAGGGGCTTTTTTTTTCCAGGCTCACCGCCCCCAGGCACGAGGGAACATCCTGGAAACTTGAGTTGAAAGCACTCGGGGTCAGGGACCAGACAGGATTTCTGGTGGAGCCGGGGCAGGATTGGGGCGTGAGGAAGGGCAGGGAGGGGGGGAAGCACCAGTCAGCCCTTCTGCATGTGGGGGGTCCATCGTTCAACTCCCCCCCCACACACACACATCCCCAAAAAGCTGCTGCTCCTGCCAAGCATCATCCTGGCGCAACCAGAAAAAAGTGACAGTGGGCACAGCTTCGGCCCTGCCTTGGCTCCCCTCGCCGTCACCGGAGAGACGGCACAAAAGCACTGGCGGGGGAAAATCCTGCAGGAATGAAAAAAAGGGGGGGGGCCGGAGGTGGAAGATGCCAGCCCCCCCACCGAGCTCAATCCTCCCCAGCCTGCGGGAAGGGCTGGTGGCCAAACACTTCGGGGGGGGGGGGTGTAGGGTGTGTGTTTATCCTGTGAACTCCCCCTGGGCAGGGATGCAGGACTGGGTGAAAACCCCAATTTCCCCCCTCCCCAGCCAGGCAACGGCCCCTGTTACAGCAGAGCCAGGAAGGATCAGGCCCTCTGAGTGAGGGGGGGGGGCACTGGGGCAGACTGGATGGGGTTAACAGCACAGGAGACCCCAGAGCTGCTGGGAAAGCAGCTCCCAGAGGGAGAAAAATTTGGGGTATTTTGGGGGAGTTTCCAGCAAGGAAGGTCACAGCCATCAGGATCTGCATGAAAAACCCTCTCTGGCTGGGACAGCCTGGCACATGCGCCCGAGCTGGGGGTCTTGGATGGATCCCCCCCAGCTCCAACCCCCCGGCAGTGGGTGCAGAGGGGCTGGGGAAACCCATCCTGGGAAAGGAAATCCTCATCTCGAAGCGTGGCCGGCGCACGCCGAGTGGGCATGGCAGAGATAAGCCGAGAGCTGCAGGCGCACCCCGGGGATTTGGCTCCAAAGATGCTGCTGAGGGGCCAGGAACGGTGACAGTAGAGCTATGGGGGGGGGGGGGAGGCTGGGGACTTGACCTGGGAACACCCATCCCCCTCCAAAAATTAAAATTGCCAAAAAAATGGGAAAACTGTATTTCCGCTGGGTGAGGGCGAAGCCGCAGCCGGGCCCCCGTTGGGGCCACCCCTGCCAGGGATTTGTTTGTTTTCTCACAGGATGCAGGAAAGACACAACAGGGCGATGCTCCGGGAAAAGCCCGGCACGCTCCCGCCTCCGGCACGCTGCCAGCCCCGGGAGAGCTCCCCCCACACCCACCGACGGGTTTGGGGATCCAGTGGAAACTCGCTGTCCCAAGTCACGCTTGGGGAATGCAGCGGGGTTCTGGGCCCCGTGATCCCATCCTGGCCCGTGCCTCAGTTTCCCCTTGCTAAGGATGATGCTTTGGATGGCCCCCCCTCAATCTCCTCGCTCTGGGATGAGTTGGGGACGAGCAGCACGGGGGAAAATCATGGCTTTGGGATGAGGTTTGGCCGAATGTCCCCTCGGGGCCTTCACGGATCTGGGTGGGTGCAAATCTCCCCGGAGTGACGCTGCCAGTGCCCGCAGCACCCCCGGGATGCAGCCCACTGCCCAGCTCTCCCGGCTGCTCCCTGTAAGCTCCAGTGATCCTCTTAAACTGGGGCAAAGTCGGGCTCTGGGGATTAGGGGTTCCCAGGAACGCCCCGCAGGTGGGATGGAGCTGACCCCGGGACCCCCGGGATCCCCCCCCGAGCAGGGTGGGACAGTGGGAGCAAGGCGGGGGCTGCAGGGCAAACAGGCGGCTGTGGGACTGGGGCGATGGGGGGGGGATGGAGGCAGTGGGGAGCCCGTCCTGTCCGGTACCGGAGCAAACGGATAGCGGGGACCCGTCCCGGATCGGTACCGGGGAACCTATCCTGGTCTGATCGCGGTGCGGACACAGTAAAGACCCCGTCCCGGATCGGTACCGGAGCAGAAGAGAGCCTGTCGCGCCCCAGTCCCCATCCCGGATCGGTACCGGGGAACCCATCTTGGTCCGATCGCAGCCCGGACACAGTCAAGACCCCGTCCCGGATCGGTACCGGGGCAGAGAGGAACATGTCCCGTCCCGGTCCCCATCCCAGACCCTGTCCCTGTCCCGGCGCACAGCCCGTCCCGGCGAGGAAAGGGGCACCCCGGGGTTACCGGTGGGAGCGGGAGTCCCCGGTGCGATGTCCCGGGTGCGGAGTTCCCCCCCCGCCGCCGGTACCCCGCAACTCGCACTCACCGTCCTGTCCGCCGGCCAGGCGCGGCCCCAGCGGGCCCAGCAGAAGGCAGCGGCGGAGCAGCGCCAGCGCCAGCACCCCCCGCGCCGCCGCCCCGCCGCCCGCCCGCATCCTCCGCCCGCCGCCGCCGCCGCCGCCGCCGCCACCGGCCCCGCCGCCCCGCGCCCGCCCCCGCCCCGCCTCTACCATTGGCTGCCGCCGCCCGGCCCCGCGCCGCCATTGGGCCGCCTCGCTGTCAGTCATCCGGCAAGGAGGGGAGCGGGGAGGTGGGCGCGATTCAGCCGGGGGGGGGGAGCCCCAGGTGCCACACAGACACACATATACATATACACACGCACACGCACACGCGCACACCCCCCCCCCCCCCCCAAAAACCACTCCCACTTGTCACTCGTGTCCCGGTCTCGCGGGGCGGGCGGGCCGACCGCCAGGGGGCAGCACGCCCCGCGCGCCTCCCGCCCGCCGTCCTTTAGGTCGGCGGCCCCTTTAAGGCAGGCGGCGGCCGGAAGTGCTGGCGGCCGAGGCCGCGGCGGCTACTGCGCATGCGCCCTCCTGCCCGGCCCCGCTTCCCTCCCTCCCCCCCCCTCCCCCTCCCCTCCCCTCCCCCTGCTCTCAGCCCCCGCACTCGCCCGCTCGGCGACGGTAAGGCCCGGCCGGCGCCGCGCTACGGGAGCCGGGAGGGGCCAGGTGGCGGCGGCGGCGGCGGCGGCGCGGCGGGGCGGGGCGGGGCGGGGCGGGAGGGGGCCCGGCCCGGCCCGCCGGGGAGGGGAGGGGGCGCCCCAGCGCGCGTCGCCGTACGTGCCGCCGCCGCGAGGGCGGACGTCGCGCGCGCCGCGGGGGGGGGGGGGGGGGGGGGAAGGGAGGTGGAGGGGGGGGGGGGGCGTGGGGCGAGGTGGGGGGGGGGGGGCCGCGTCGATGCGTCCGCCCGTGGAGAAAAGAGGGGGGGTAAAGGGAGGGGGGGGGGGGGAAGGCCACACCCCTCCCCCGGGCAGCCCCGCCCCGCCGCCGCGCGCCGCAGCGGGGGGGGGTCTCGCATCTCCCCCCCCTCCCCCCTCCCCGCCGCCCTTGACCCCTGACCCCCTGGGGTGGGTGGGCGGCTGCGGCTTTATTTGGGGGGGGGGGGGTGATGACCTTTGACCTTTTGCCTCTACGACCCCCACCCCCCCCTTGGGGTGACCTCAGCTGGCGGGGGGGGGGCGCGGGGGTTCCCCACGGGTGTGGGGGGGGGACACCCACCCACACCCCTCCCCCTGCCCGGGGGTCCCTTCCGCAGCCCCCACCCGAGGCCTGGGCCCGGAGCCTGTCACCCTCGGGGGGGGCCACCCCCCCCCGCCCCCCAAATGCCGTAAATCCTGCGGAAGCCGCTGTCCCGGGGGGGGGGGGGTGGTCCTGGGGGTGCCTGTGCTGCCCGCTGTGACCAGGACACAGTGACCCACGGGGGCGAGGGGGGGGGGGGGGGGTGCGTGGAGCCCCCCCATCCTGCCGCCAGCACCTTCCCAGAAACATGAAAAACCCGAGGGGGGGGGGGGAGGGAGGGGGAGCCGATCCTCACCCCAACCCCACAGTGGTGATAAACCCACACACCCCCCCCCCCGTGCCTCCCCACAGTAACCGGGGTGAGCGTGGGGGCTGTGGGGTGACCCCCCCCCCAGCTGCCAGGATCCCCGGCCGCAGGAACCGGGAACACCGGCTTCTCGGGAAGGGTCAGTCCCGGGCAGCGAGGGGCCGCAGCGTCCCGCGGGCGGCTGGACGCGCTGCCAGCTGGGGGGGGGGGGGGCACTCTCCCCAAAACCCACCGCGTGGGTTTCGTCCCACCGGGGAGAGACCCGCTGTCGGGGAAAGTTAGGAGCGGGGTGGCGGTGCTGGGGGGGGGGGGATCTGCCTCTGTCGGTTTGGTGTCGTCCCCCTCTATCGTGATGGAGAGGGGAGGGGAAACCCTTGTGTGCGTGCTGACGGGCGCTTTGCCATCTCTCCCCGGTGGTGAATTTTAAAGTGCCTGACCCCCCCACCCCACCACCCCCACCCCAAACCACCACCACCCCCTCCCGCACCTGCTTCTTCGGGGCTCCCCCTTTTGCTGCGGCGGGGACCCGGGGCGATCATGCTCACGCGGCGCTGCCTGCCCCTCGCTCCCTGCGCCGGGCAGCGGTGCTGCCGCCCGCACGGACCTGCCTCTCTCGCTTTGCCCCTCCGCAGCACCGCGGCACCCCGCCAGCGCCGGGCTTCATGTGAGAGATGGCGAATGCCGAGGTGAGCGTCCCTGTGGGCGATGTGGTGGTTGTACCAAGTGACGGAAACGAAGGGGAGAACCCGGAGGATACCAAAACCCAAGTGATCCTGCAGCTCCAGCCGGTGCAGCAAGGGTGAGTTGGACGGTGCTGGTGTGTCTGGGAGGTATGGTGGGGAGGGTAGATTTTGGTAGATTTTTTTTTTTTTTTTTTTTTTTTTTTTTTGGGGGGGGGGGGGGTGTGCGGGGACCAAGCGTCGGCTGCCGTTTTCCAGGTCTGCATCATTTTTGCGCCGCGCGCAGCAGAAGGGGAAAAACACAACGCCAAAAAAAAAAAAAAAAAAAAAGCTTTTGTGTCTCCTGCTCTCACGGGGCCTCCGAGGACTGAAATCGTTCCGCGGAGACGTGTCGCGGCAGCCCGGCGATGGCTGTGGCAGCGGGCAGGCGGCGAGCTGGTCGCGGTGCTGCCCTGGCCACGCGTCCTCCCGGGCTCCTTCTTCCCTCTCCAGCCCCAGGCTGGGTTTGTGCCACACTGCAGCTGCTGGACACGGTGATCTGTGCCCGCGTGCCCAGATCTGCATACGCCTCTGTGCCAGCTTTCCCCTGAAATAATCCTCCTCTAAAATGCAATGAAGCTGGGATGCTGGAGGAATTTTGTGGTACCCCCGGCAGCTGCTGCTGGGAAGTGGCTGCCACCAGGCGCTTCGTCTTAACTCTGGATGAATCGGGATGCAAATACGCTGGCTCCCAGTTGGATCATATTCGCAGAGCAGGGTGGCTGTAGGCCTGGCAGTGACTCTTCCCTGCGTGATCACCCGTGGTGCAGTGTCGCACAGGGCTGGAAGGGAAATCCTGGGGCAGTGAGCTCTGCTTCCTGTTGTCGTGGGTATCTGCCTGTGTCAGAAACCAGAGGAGGAGGCACAGGGAAGCGCGCTGCAGAGCTGCTTCAGCGGCGCTGGCAAGGTGGAGGGTGCGATGACAGGACTGGGAACGCCTCTGCGTACTTCAGTCCTTGGGATTATTATCCTATTTTTTTGTATGTGCAAAAAAAAAAAAAAAAAAAAAAATAATGCCTGTGATTGAAACTGTATCAAACGAAATCCATGTCCCTGGAGGACAGGCGAGAAAGAAACAAACCGAATTTTTAACCCCGTGCTGTGAATCTTAATTTCCCGTGATTTACGTAGTTTGTTTATGGATGGCTGCTTTCACAACAGGATTTACCAAGAGGGCTCCGAGGCCAGCGCTGCCGTAGTGGCCGTTGAAACCCACACCATCCACAAGCTAGAAGAAGGGATCGGTGAGTTCCCGCTTGGCGTGGGCAGAATCCCCTCCTCGGCAGGGCTGGTCGCCGCTGAGCTGGTGTCTCCAGTTCGCTGGGCTTCCTTCTGGCTCTGCCCCTGCAGATGCTGTTTCCCAGGCATGGATGTGGGTGCAGGGTCTGGGCATACTTTGGAATAAGAGTCTGCTGTTACTGCTTGGTCTCAAAATTCCTGGAACTGAGATCCTGGCTCTCCTGCAATGAATGGTAAGGGCTCCCACGGGGTCCTGGGGAGCCGAGGTTTCACCCTGGTCTTGGGATGCAGACACTAGCAGGCAGGAATGATGTTACGAGGATGACAGTTTGGTCTACGCCAGCTGAGGCATCAGACCCTGCTGGCTGGTTCTTTGCTGAATGAACAGCCTGAAGGTTGGGGTTGGATGTTCAGAAGAACCGAGCAGGTTGGCTCTGAGTGCTCCCCGCCATCCTGAGGAGTACGTGGAAAAAGGCTCCTGTCATCAGGTGCTGTCACCAGGTCTTGACTAACATTCTGCTTCCTGCGTGGGTGTGGGTCTTTTGGCAGTATTAGCAGAAACTCTGCGTGTGAAGAGAATATATTATCAGTAAATACCTGATATCGCTGCTAAAGAGATAGCAGAGCTCCAAAAAATCTGAGATGTCTGTGCTTCAGATTTTAAAGCGTTTTTTTTTTTCCCACAAAGATTGTTCTCATTGACACCCCCCTCCTTCTTACAGATGTGTTGGACTTCTGATCTCACAACCTCCTGACAGATGAGCTTCATTTCGAGTGTTGCTATATTAAAAATTAGATGCCAGTTGCTGTTAGGGATAGTGATTGGAAAAGAATAAGATCCTGAACTGGATTTGGCCTTTCTTTTGGTTTCCTGAGCACAAGTCTCACACCCTGTGAGCTTTCAGCACCCACCTTGTGGGATTTGAGCCTTTTGGGTGGAAAGTTCCATTTTTACCCGTTCCTCCCTCAGACCCCAGCACCATTGAAACGAACGAGGAAATCGAGATCGCCTATCCCATCACCTGTGGGGAGAGCAAAGCCATCCTGCTCTGGAAGAAGTTCGTCTGTCCAGGAATTAATGTCAAGTGTGTAAAGGTAAGAGAGTTTTCACTCCTTCTCTGCTCTCAAGGTCTGGTGCTTGACCTCCACAGGACTTCCTTACTTTTTGTGTTTCATCTGAGCCTTGTCCTGGAGCTGAGTGACTTTGCCTTTGCAGTGTGCTGGATTATTAGCTCTAAAAGTGTTTCCAGCTTGGGAGAAGCAGTTGGTTAAAGAGTGAACGTCTATCACCCATCTTTTATTCCATTGCTACTCTTGATTACTGTTTAAAGCAGAGTTGTATTTGGCACTTGAGATGGGACTTGGAGCTGAAGGCGGGCATACTGAGATCTGCCAGAGCTTTTCTTCCTTGTCTCTTTCCCTTGGTGTCCCGATACTCCACTCCTGTCACTTCCTTGGTGAGCAGGTTGCATCAAGAAGAGAAATCTTGCTGTTCCCTGTTTCCACTCGAGAATGTGGTAATGTAACAGCTGACGCACTGAGGCTGAGGCCCTGTGTGCTGCTGCGGTGAGAGAGCTCTGTTGCTGGCCCTCAACGGGAGCTATCTTAGTCACTGGAGCAGGACAGAACAGATGCCCAAGTGAATACCCGTGTCAGCTAGATGTTGCTCGGCTGTTTGATGTAACAGGAGTCTCTCATAACGATCTCCAGGATGACTGTACGTGTTCACAGAAGGAGCTAATTTGATTCATGCTTCATACAAAAGCCTTCGGGGCTGTTCCTGGCTAGAGCTGTGTGGTTCAAATGCCGATGGCTGGCAGGTCATCCCTGCAAACGTATCCATTCTGGAGTTATAAGCTTTGCTGTGCCGAGGAGATCAAAGCTGGTAGGGATGTGAGAAGCAGCTCCTCTTTCTGGGTGGAAGTGGGGGCTCAGCTGAGCTGTGGGCTGGCTGCGTTGGATGTCCTAATACAGTCCTCCAAAGTGTTGTTACCCTGTTTGCTGAGCCTTTGCTTATCTCGTCGTCAGTTCAATGACCAACTGATCAGCCCGAAGCATTTCGTTCACCTGGCTGGGAAGTCTACCCTAAAGGACTGGAAGAGAGCCATTCGCCTCGGAGGAATCATGCTGAGGTATTTGACTTGCCTACCGCTGTGTCCAGCTTCAGGACTTCATCGCTGTAGCTACAGGATCCCAAGCAGGCATTTTGTCTGCTTTGCAGTCCCCGGGAGATCTCTTGGAAGCTCACATTGCCTGGCCAGCAGCCTGCAGAGATCCTGGCCCCGTGCTCTGAGGGGCAGGATTCCTCATCCTGTACAGAAGTGGCCTCGCCTGGGGGACCTGGTACTTGGTGGGGGGTGGAACAGGACTGGAGCCCTGTATGTGAAGCTGAGGGATGGCTTGTATTTGCCATTTGAAAGCCCTGCAGGAGATGTTTTGTGTGCAGAGTGGCCCCGGGTCTCCCTTTCTCTGTCTTTTCCATAGCCATAGCATTCTACGTGGAATACTCCCCTTTTGTCTCCAGGCTGAGATTTGAGCTGAGCCTGGTTCTCTCCCCACTCCCCCCTGCACAGGAAGATGATGGACTCGGGGCAAATCGACTTCTACCAGCACGACAAAGTTTGCACCAACACCTGTCGAAGCACCAAGTTCGATCTCCTGATCAGCAGCGCCAGAGCACCGGTGCCGGGGCAGCAGAGCGTGGTGCAGACTCCTACATCAGCTGACGGTAGGAAAGCAGTTAGCAGTGCCACAGGGGTTTCCCTCCGATGCTCCTCTCCCTCCCTGGACTAATCAAATCAAGTTGACACACACCCCCGACACACACACACGCTTTAGACCTTCTCCCCTGGTGTAGCAGGGCAGTGCCACCGTTCAGGAGACTGCTCTGGTTTCTGGGAAGGCAAATGCTCCTCATGTCTGCTCAGAGAGGTCTCGGCAGCATCTGTCAGGGAGCTCTGCAGTAATGCAAGGGCTGGAGAGCAGCTGGTACTAAGCAGAGACTAGAGACAGCCTTGAGAGCCAGGGGAGGCTCACCTTGAAGAGATCACCATGGGAGCAAACACCTGAGAGAGCTCACACAGTGTTTTCTGATGTCTTTCCTATTTGACGGTCTATTACAAAGGCATGAGATGGGCTAATACTCACTCAGGAATGAATTTAGGGATGCTGAGCTCCTCCAGAGCAGCCTGCTCCACATCACCTGGACACCCCTGAGCAGGGGGTGGACAGGATTTGATTGTCATTCCAACTGCAAATTCTCAGCAAATCACTTTCTGCTCCGAAGCACAGGATCTCTTTGCTGAGGTTAAGGGAGAAGACTACTCCCGACCGTACCGCAGGGCAGGTTACATTTCTCTAAGGCCCTGGGTGGGGGAGATGGCAGAGTTGTCCACACGCTAAGGAGAATCTCCTGGAAAGCACATGGTAAAACCTTACAGTGGCTGCCCAGTGGCTCAGTCCCAAATTTGATCCAGAAACTTAGGATAGAAGCAGATCCGTTTCCCTTTTATAAACCAGCTTGGACCCTGTCATTTCCTGAGGGATCGGGGCATCTCTGGCGTGCAGAGCTCCCTGTTGATGATGGAGGGGGAGAAGGGTGGCTGGGCTGAGGCTTATTTGTTCCCTTCTTCATTCTGATCCCTTTCACCTCCTTTTATGCCAGGACTCCAGATTGCTTTTTGGAGGGCACGTGGTTTTCTCCCCAGAAGCCCCAGAGCCTTCACAATCACAGTTTCAATGAGAAGCAGAAATACTTGCTTTTAGCTAATATGGTTGAAAGAAGCCAGGCACAAACAACCTGACCACGAGAGTGAAAAAGAGCCTGGGGAGGGCTGAGGAGGGTGGAAAGCAAAGCAGGGATTCAGGGCTGGCACTCTGGGTGCTGCAGAGAGAGCTGATGTCTCCTCTGTGGCAGGGAGCATCACCCAGATCGCGCTGTCGGAGGAGAGCATGGAGGAGGGGATCGAGTGGAACTCGGCTCTGACAGCTGCCGTCACCATGGCCACTGAGGAAGGCATGAAAAAGGACACGGATGAGATCTCGGGTAAGCTCAGGCTGCTTGTTGGGTGTTTTCTTCCCCTCTCCTCGCCTGTTACATTCTGGAGACTGAAATCCTCAAAATAAGGAGAGGTTAGGCAACGGCAGAGCTGCGCCCCGGCCCTTTGCCTATCCCAGCATTTCTCGGGCATGCAGGGTCCCTGCCAAATGGAGCTCCTCACCGCTGCACACAGAGGGGGACTTCAGCCCTGGCCTTGTGGCTGATGGATGATCCCCCAGATCAGCTGCTACTAGTTACAGTCAGGGGCTTTTTTTGTGTTCATTCTAAGGATGTAAAAGTCTGCCCGCCTGGAGCTAGGCTAAAACCATCAGGGAGCAGTGTCTTGTTAGTACCCCGTGCTAGTACCCTGTCAGCTCTTGTGACTGTGTCTCTCTGGCTGTGGTGCCTTGCATTCCCTTTCAGGATCAGTACAGAAGCTTAGGCAGAATTTCCTCAAAGATTTTAAGCTCTGCATCTTGCAAAGATGTGAAATGTTCCTTCGAAGACATGGTGCTGCTTGAAAACATGTTACTGATTTGCTGCTTGGGTCTGCTTTGCTGCTTTTGGCTTTTTGTTGGGTTTTTTTTTGCATGTCATATCCAGCCCAGTGGCCAAATCAGAAGTTTTTCTTGCAAAGTTACTCTTGCCTGAAAGGCTTAAGGTAGCCTCGTGGGAAATATCAAATGCTTGTACATGTTGACTTCTTTTTCCTTCTCCTTGTGCCAGAGGACACACTGATGTTCTGGAAAGGAATAGCTGATGTGGGACTGATGGAAGAGGTTGTGTGCAACATCCAGAAGGAGATAGAAGAAGTCCTAAGAGGCGTCCAGCAGAGGTTGGGTCAGTCTCCCTTCCAGATGACAGGTAGGTTGTGAGCCACAGCCTCTGGCTCTGCGGTGAGGAAGGATGCTCGAAATGGCAGCTGCAGGCAAAAAAAAAAAAAAAAGTGACAAGGGTCCATCCCCACCGTTTATGCGTGTTGAGTCAGGACGGTGAGCTACCACTCATTAGTGAGCTGAGTCTGGGTGTGGTCTCAGCCTGCCCAGCCGTGAAGTGCATCCCCTTGCACCGCTGCGGGGCACGGGGGCACGACATGCCACCCCGTTCCCTGCGCAGAATGACCCCGGCAGCTCGCCGAGACCCTCGGGCAGCTGTCCTCAGCTCCTGGCCCTCGTGAAAGCCTGCCCGGAGTCACTTCTCGGACCAGAATTAGTCAAACACTTTTTTCTGTGACAGTGCAGGCTTAAACAGGTCCTGCCCCCTCACTTCTCGTTCTGTCTTCACTTATGCCAGAAAACCAGTTTTTGGGGCTGAACCAGATGCGGGAACTGATCTGGGTTAAAAATAACTCCGCTCCCCTCTTTAGGGTTATTTTTTACTTGGATCAGTTCCCTAATCCAATTCAGCACATGGCCCTGTGAGCACAGGGTTTGAGAGCACCTCTTGTTGGTGCTCTTGCCGAGAGAACATCCGTGTAGCCACAAACTTCATTTTACCCAGGATATCTTTTTTTATTTTCTAATTTAGCTTTGGGCTGGCGGATCTTTGTGTCTGGTAGGTGGCAGTTTTTGGAAGCTGTGAGTGATTGAAGTCAGTGGATTATAATAGAAATTTTGCACAGCTTTCAGTGGAGCTGGCATGTTAATGACACTGTCAGCAGCATGGGGTGATGATTTGTAGGTGGAGAGCTCATTTGTATCTCTGTGATTGCAAATTATGCTTTCATTTGCAGCAATTTTGAGCTGCTTGGGTGACACATCTCTGTTTCATTTTCTTTATCATGTGAATGGGATTATTTAGTCCTTGGATGTCAGAAGGAAGTGGGAGCTGGGTCTGCCCTTGTCAGCCAGCCCTCGTGAAAGAACAGAGATAGTTTTACAAAAAGCAGTAGAAAATTTTTGGTGTAATACGAGCATCTTTTGAGTACCTGAGTCCCACCTGTGGGACTAGGCACTCATCCCCATGCACTTCCCTTGCAGATGCTGCAGTCTTGAACAATGTTGCCCACACATTTGGCCTAATGGACACAGTCAAGAAGGTTCTGGACAACAGGAAAAACCAGACAGAGCAAGGAGAGGAACAGTTTCTTTACACACTGGCAGGTACAGTCCGTGCCTAGTATGGCTTCTCATCCTGCTGCTGCTCTTGGGAACTGATGTGACTTTCCTTCGATGTATGAACCGAATTTGGGTTATTGCTCCATACACACTGCCCCAAAACAAATGAATCCCAACCCCTTTCCATCCTAGGGCTTGCATGGAATTTCTCCTCTCCCTTGCCTCGCAGTGAGCAGTTGCTTGGGGCATTCGACAGCCCAAAGTTCGTGCACTTTGCTGAAGCCAGGCTCCTGGGGGTACGACTCTGATTCCATCAGCATTAGAGAATAGGTGCTGCTAGCTAAGAGCTGTGCTGCAGTCCTCCGTGTTGCAGGCAGCGTCGTGCTGTGCCCGAGCTAATAAGCTCCTCCGTGTACGGGGTGCTGAGTTGTCTGCTTGCCTTGGTGCGGAGCTATCAGGTGTCTTGCACGGCTTCCCCTGAGCTGAAGCCAATAACCTGACCTGGATTCCCCAGAGCCACTTGTTGGATGTGTCTCCCTCCTCACCATGTCCTGTAGGACCTGTTCTTATCTGGGATGTCCTAGTCCCCTACTGCCCTGGATAAATGAGATTACTGTGCTACTTCTGACTTCCAGAGTTCACACAGACAAGGGTTGAGGGAGATATTTCGTTGACCCAGGGAGTCCTGCTCCCTGTCCCCCGCTGCAGCTGCTCAGCTCCTGGGGAGGGCACCCAGCAAAGCTCAGGAAGCAGTTCTTACTGTCTGGAGGGGCTTGTCCACTCTCTCTTGGAGCTGGGTCTAGCTTGGGGAGCAGAAAGGCCCATCGTCTCATTAGTGGGAAGATAATGGAAATGGCAATTTGTTACAGAGCATTGCCTGTTCCTTATCCTGGCGCTGACAGCCAGCCAAAGCAGGCTGAGTGGGTGCAGAACATTGACCAGGTCCGTGTGGGTGGTGGGAGAATCTGGCCTTTCCTTCAGTGCGGTTTGGTCTTGAGTGAAATGCTGAGGTCACGCTCGACTGGGTGGCTAGGAGACCTCCTGTGGCAAACGTGGGGTGTAATGGTTGTTTGGGGAGCCCGTGAGTCCCCGGGGGCTCCCGCAGCGTGCTGGCCCCGGCCCGACGCGCTGCTCGGCCGTTCTCTTTGCAGACCTGGAGCGGCAGCTGGAAGAGCAGAAGAAACTTGCCAAGGACCAGAAGGCAAAGTCCCAAACCATCCAGAACGTGGTGCTGATGCCCGTCAGCGCTCCCAAGCCCCCCAAGAGACCCCGCCTGCAGCGCCCAGCCTCTGCCACCGTCCTCAGCCCCTCCACCCCCATCCAGCAGCCTCAGTTCACGGTCATCTCACCCATCGCTATCGCTCCCGTTGGACAACAGTTCTCTGTGGGCAACATCCCAGTGGCAACCATTAGCCAGGGCTCGAGCCCGGTGACTGTTCACACCTTGCCGTCTGGCTCCCAGCTCTTCCGATACGCCACCGTGGTGTCCTCTTCCAAGACCAGCTCCTCCGACACGGTCACCCTCCACCCGTCCTCCAGCCTGGCGCTGCTGAGCTCGGCTGCCATGCAGGACAGCGGTGCCCTGGCGAACGTGGCGGCCGTGGTCAACCCCGTGGAACTGGTGGCCATGGAGTCCGGCCTCACTTCCACCATCCAAGCCGTGGAGGGCACCTCGGACGACGGGCAGACCATCATAGAGATCGACCCGGCGCCGGATCCCGAAGCGGACACGGATGAGTCGGAGGGCAAAGCCGTGATCCTGGAGACGGAGCTGAGGACTGAGGAGAAAGTGGTGGGAGATGTGGAGGACCATCAGCACCAGGTCCATAACGTGGAGATTGTGGTCTTGGAGGACTAGTGGGGAAGGCGAGCGTCAGTTTGGGGAAGAGTTGGGAATTTTGTTTTATTTTGGGCTTTTTTGTTAAGCATCTTTTCCAGCCACCCCATTTGTTTCCATGGATATTTTCATTGTACTGTATATTATATATATATATATATATATATATATATATATATATAATTTTTTTTTAAAAAAACAAAAAAGCTGGAGAAACACGTGAGACGTGGAAAAGGCTCCGTCTCCGTGGAGCACTGAACAATACCACCTGTTTGCAGGGTCAAGGAGAGACTGGATCTCTGCTGAACAACCCAACCGGGAGGAACTGGACGAGGGCTCCTGGCGCTGAGAGCGCGCCGTGGCCCAGCCGCACGCATGGTGCTTCTGCTCCGGGCCGCCCTGGCCCCAAATATTTTATTTCAGAGAGACAATAACCAGTGGCTGGAGTATTGATGTGACTGTGGGAAGGGGTGATGGCTTTGGGGTGGAACAGGTACCTCATTTGTATTTTTATTTTCCCCCAGGGAAGGGAATTCTGTCAGACTCTTCACTGTCACCTCAACTGGGATTTTTTTATTATTATTCTTGCTTTGGGGAAGATGACAGTAACCCTGACTTTACTGTCCATATTCTCTTCCTCCTCTGCACAAATTGTTTTTATATCTCTATTTTTTTGCATTTGTTTGCTCTCTCCCTTCCCTTGTCCAGATTTCCCAGCTGCGAAGCCCCAAGACATACTCTTACCGGCCTCCGGGTCCCTGTATCCCAATCCCGCCTCTTCCCATGGCACTTTTCCCCCGTCCCTTTCCCTGCCTGGCCAGGCTCGGTGCTGCAGACGCCGCTTGGAGACTCCAAGATCACTTCAGCCTTTTGCATAAAGGCAAAAAATATCAACTCGAGCTTAAAACCACAACCTCCCCCTTTGCTGCTCAGCGCTGCAGGGACCTTTCGGGGTGTACAAAGCATGTTGTGCTGTTGCTTTCCGGGAGAGCTGGACTCCAGATTGGGGCAGCTTCTGTTTACACTGTGTGCTGGGGCTGCTCCGTGCTTGTCGCTACTTGTTTGGTGGTTTTATTTTTGTAATTTTTCTTCTTTCTTCCTATAATCTCTTGGCAGGATTAGAACTGGCACGTCGCTGAAATAATGTGTGCCCTGTCGTTCTTCCCCTCTTTCCCTCTTTTTTTTTCTCGGTGGCCGGGGGTCGCTTTGGGCTCTGCCGCGATGGGAAGATGGAAGGGGGGAAGCGCCGGGTACTGTTAGAGCTGCGGAGGTTTGGGAGGGCGGGGAGGGGGGGGAGCTGCTTGGCTGGAAATATTAAGCAAAACAACAGCAAAGGAAACACACCTGGGGAGGGCGGGTGGGGAGGGGGAAGGAAGATGTGTTTGGCTATTTTTTGCATTAAAAGGAAAAATGGAACTACGCTCAAACGGTTTATTCGTGGGTAGGTGAATGGCGACCGCTCCGCCACCGTAGAGGCCGGGCAGGGATCCCGGGGCGTTGGGGTGGAGGTGGGAGCTGGTAGCAAGTCGTGCCCGCCTTGCGTGGGTGTCGGGGTGCGGCCGTGGGAGCCGGACCCCAAGGGGTTTGGGTCAGGGATCCACGTCCCTCCGTCTCGGGCAGCCTTCGCGCCGTCCCCCTCGGCCTCGCGCCCGCGCGGGTCCCCCTTGACTGGGGAGGGACGGGGTCCTTTTGGGGACACCCCCACCCCCCCAATCTGGGTTTACGCCCGAGCTGTGCCCCTCTTTTGGCCGGGGGAGGGTCTGGCCAAAAGACCAGCTGCGCCCCCCCCCCCCCCCTCACATCTAATCCAGGCTGGCGTCCAGGGGGGCTGCGGTGGGTGCTGGGCTGGGCGCCATGCCCCGAGCACAGGGACAGCTAAAATATCGGGGTGCGACAGAGTGGGGGGAGCTACAGCCGGGCTTCGGATTCGCTGTTTGTTTGTTTGGGTTTTGGTTTGGTTTGGTTTGGGGTTTTTTTTTTTGTGTGTGTGGAAAAGCGCAGCTGTGCCGTCGGAGCGCCTGGCCCTTTAAGAGCGCCCCCCCACACAGCGCCGCGCCCGGCCGAGAGGGGGCGCCGCTGCCGTCGGTCCTCCGCTGGCCCGTCATGCACCGCGCCCTCCCCCGCCCCCTCCTCCCGCCATTGTGCCTGGGAGCGCGGGGCGCGCGCGCGGTGCCGCGTGACGCCCGGGGAAGCGCGCGCGCGCGCGTGTGTGTGTGGGCGCGAGGCGGCGGGCCTGGGCCATAGACGCGGGCCGGAAGGAGAGGCGCGGCGAGGCGGGGAGGGGGGGGGGGGGGTGGGGGGGTGGTGGCTAGAGCGTCGCCCCAGCCAGGCAGCCGCCGCGGGCGAGTCGGAGTCCGCCAGGCAGCCGCGCCGCGCCCGCGCCCGGACAAAGCCGCCGCCGCCGCCGCCGCCCCGCCCCGCCAGCAGCCCCGCCGCGGAGCCATGTCGGCCAGCAGCCTCCTGGAGCAGGTAGGAACCCCGCCGCCCGGCCTTCCTCCCCCCCCCCCGCCCCGCTTCCCGCCGTCGGGCCTGGCCCGCTAGGCGAGGCCGCGGCTCGGGGCCTAGCGGCGGGGCCGCGGGCCGGGCCTTCTCCCCCGCCCCCCCAGCTCCGGGCCGCGCCTCATTGTGCTGCGGCGCGGCCGGGCCTCCCCCCCCCCCCCCCCCCCCGGGGCCGGGCAGGGCCTCGCCGGGCTCCCCGCCCGCTCCGGGGCCGCTTCGCCCCCTCCCTGACTCACCGCTCTCCTTCTCTCTTTCCACGCCGCGCCGCCGCGCCAGAGACCCAAGGGCCAAGGCAACAAAGGTGAGAGCGCGGGGGGGGCGGCGGGGAGGGCTGCGAAATGATGGGGGGGGGGGGGGGGGGGGCGTTGAGCCTTTTGGGGAGCGTGCCCACCGAAGAGGGTCGGCTCCGAAATTTGCTGGGCATGGCTTCAGGGCTCTGCTCCTTAGGGAGGAAAACAAGCCGTGGGTTGCGAAGCCCATCGTCGTTTGTGGGGCTGGGGAAAGTTTGTGGTTAAGGAGTGTTGGTGCGGTGGTGAAGTGTCTGTCCACGCTTTGTCGGGCCATAAGCGTGGTATATCACAACCAGCAGCAAATAGTTATATTGTGAGGTTTATCTTTAAATGCTTTTAAGTATTTAAATATTAGACTTTATCGGCCAAGTTCTTTCTAATGCTGTACATCTCTTCTTTAGTGCAAAACGGATCTGTGCATCAGAAGGATGGGTTAAATGATGATGACTTTGAACCCTACTTGAGTCCCCAGGCCCGACCGGTGAGTAAGCGTGCCTGCTAACCTGCAGGAAGCACCAAGAGCCTGGTGGCTTCCTGCTGCTCTCTTCTAGGGAGGGTGAATTTGGCATCCTTGCATTTCCCCATCTCCACTGATTGCGTTTTGATGTTTGCCAGCTTCCTGACCGTAATATGTCACTGCATACATGCATTTCTCCAGGCAGAAAGTGCTGAATGCCAGTAGATTGGGTTGGGTGACATATAAAGGTTTTAACAACTTTGTGAGAGTGTAAAGGCTTCCTACAATTGGCACTCAGCTCTTTTTTTTTTTCAACGTAACTGTCTTGAAGTTATCATTTCTGCTCTTTCAGTTTTACTGTTATGACCTTGTTTCCTTGCTGGTTTCTGCCTCTTGCCACCATACGAGGAGATGCGCTACACTGCGTTGTGAAATTGCTTGACACGAAGCAGTTAGGCTCTGAGGGCTTTTGGAGGATACTATCAACATTCTTATCTCTCTGCCATGTAAACTGAAAATGCGTGTCATGGGGTTTTCTCAATTTTTCACCAAAAATCCCACAGAACACACATGTGATAAAGGCTGTAAAGACTTTTTGAGAACTTTAGTTAGCAGCCGAGCCAGGGAGCTTGTGATCAGCTCCTGAAAGTCAGACTTCCAGATACTTTTCCTTTTAACTTTCTGTTTAAGATTAACTTCACTGTTAACTGTTTTTGTTTGTTTTTCTTAATGAGCAGTAGGAGTGTGACACATAGCAGATGGAGTGCAGCTGATTAGATGGTACAAGTAAGCATTACAGATAAACATCTGTAGCAGCACTGGACCAGTCCATTCTCTTGGCTTCTCTCTCCTCTCAAGTTGTGATTAGTAAAAATAAGCTGTTTTTGTTTTCCCTTTCTGTATTTTTTGGATCGTTTTTACTAGTTGTTATATTTATTTTTTTCATATAATGGTGATGCATCTTTTATTGAAACACAGGAATAGGTTTCTGCTAAATTTTCAAGAAGTATTTTCCTAGTTCATGCTAAAGATGTGAGGCTAAATATTCCTCAAAGTCCCGTTAGCTGTTCATAATCTTCAGAATTCAGCTTGCCTATAGCTTACTCCATTCAGCTCCCGAAAAAGGTACAAGCCTAAATTTGACCTGCTTGGGATGAGAGAGTGTGATTACCTTCACAGGTCTTGAATAAAATTATCTGCTTTCCCAGTAGCTGTCACTTAATGATGAGGTTTTTCCATCCCGGAAACTAACATCACCACTTTCCAGCTTCCTTCTGAATGTGGACATATTTCCTGCGATGTGTAGCTTCATTTAAATCGGCGAAAAAGAATTAAGGTTACTGTAATGTTAGAAGCAACGTGATATTTTACCTTACTTTGCATGTTTGATGAAAAACTTCTGAATATTTAGTTTCTTTTTGAGTGTGTCACACTGGTAAAAATACGTTTTAAAAATAAGGAAGTGATGGGAGCACGCCCCAGGAAGTGGAACAGAGCTGTTGCTCTAGAAAGTCAGCAGGAGCGAGGTAAAACGCCATGTTAACTTTGAATTAAACTTTAGGGCCACTTTATCTCAGTTTCTCACCGTGCTATGTTGCTGGTCAGCTCTCATCTGTGTTTTGACACTATATAATAGAAAACAAAACCCTAGGATCTAGGCTGGAGAGGGCTGTGGTTCTGCTGAGCCAACCAGCCAGGCTCAGAAACACAAGGGTGTCAAAGAGTGCACGTCTCTTTGAGCATGGGAAAGGGAGTTACAGATACGGCTCTGAAAAATGAGCTAAATGCAGCCCACTGCTGCAGAGTAATGTGAGTGGCTTCTGAAATTGCTTTCTAAGCTCTCCACACAAGCATGAGGTAACCACGTTGTAAAGTTTCATGGCTCTTCATTGAGGAGCTGCTGTTTCAAGTGTGACTGCTACTAGCTTGTCAGCCTAGTAAATTAGGTTACTATGTATTTTAAAGTTCAGGTACACAGTAAGTGATTCTTCAACAGTTTTAAAAACAAAAGCTCTACAGCCGCAATAAATAAGCTTAAAGCCTAATTCTAGTCTGAGGTGAACAGAAATGGTGAATTTGAGGAAATAACTGTACAAAAAGTCTTAGTCATGGGAGAGAATTTAAAGCCAGTGAAGTTTTATTTGCATACTAATCAGTAACTGTGTCAGTTGTGCGAGTGCAGGGTAGCAGAGCGAGGTGGCGTGTGTGATAGCAAAGTGAGTTCTAGACATTCAGGTAGTGAGCAGCAGCGAGCCTGTCTTAAATCTGCTTTGAGCTGGCAGTGCTCAGCTGCTGCTTAACTCCTGTGCTCCCTCCTTACTACACAAGTGTAGCTGGTGAATACGAGTAATAGCTTCATATAGACTATGTTAAAATATCTCATGAAGTTAAACATATAATGACATGTAAGAAAATATTTTGAGGTGACAAAGGGAAAGGTTTTAATCCGACAGTGATGTGCTTCGTGGCTTGGAGGGAGAAGCCTGCGGAGAGGAAGATGCTAGTCTGCCTGCTGGGCTCAGGTTATAAGTATGGGCCAGCATGTTTATGTTTCATCAAAGCTGATTTCCAACAGAGTATACTGTTACTCTTATAATTGAGGGGATTATCTTTTGAAGAGACTTTGCTGGTTCAAAATAATTTTTTTTTTTTTTTTTAAGTTCCTTCATTTGCCTTACAAATTAGTCAGTGTCAGTATTCATGCTTTGGATAGATTGAGCCCTAAAGGCAGTTAATTGGTTTGAGTCTAGCAGAACTAAGTTCCTCAATTAGTAAAACTGTACCCTGGGTAAGAGTGGGTTTTGTTACTAATTTGCTTTTGGAATCCCTTCTTTGGGAAGATGGAAAGGCTGGAGAGAAAGGTGTCTCTGAGTTTTCATGCATTCAGAGCATGAA